TAGATAGAATAAAGCATGCGTTGTGACACAATTGTCAATTGCCAGTCTGGTTTGCCGGGCTGGCCAGGAAAGGTGAGATCTTGCCTTGCTCAAACAGGAGCCAATCAAATTAACCAGGCCAGCCCGGTTCTCATGTGAATCAAATCTCAAAAACATATAAAAACAATATACATGTACAAGACCAGATCTCGGCACTTGCAAGCCGGTCCAGCCAGACGAATCAGTCTTGATCTTGTAAACAGCCCATGTAAGGACCTTGTTTGTAGGAATTATTACATTTCTTGATACTGCATCAAAATGTAGTAAATATTAACAACAGAATTACATGTGAATCCTAAATCTACCCCCCAATGCAGCCCATTGTAAGGCCTGTTGGCACTGTACTCAATTGTGGTATCCGTAACATGTTTACCATGCTTGGACTACCCCTATTCACACAGGCCGAGCATGGATAAATTTGGTACAGGTACCAATTTTATCTGTGCCATACTAGGTGTAAGAAAATACCTGTGGTTCCGGTTCCCGATTGACCCTATTTTTTCTGCCCACCCTATTATTTTTTCAAAGTGATTGACTGTGCGACCCTATTTTCTCTGGATGGTTGCGGCTGCTGCCAAAATGACGTCTGTTCAGACAGTTCAGTGTTGTCACACTAATTATTGAAAAATCCATGAAAAAGTATTCAAAAAAAATTCCGACCTACCAACCCTAATTTTTTCGCGATATGAAACCGGAACCACAGGTATTTTTACGTCCTACTAGATTAATCTTGTTATCTCAATGCCAAACAATTGTACATGTCCAGGGTCCTGATGTATTAACTCAATTAGTGGCAGCACTCTTCCCCTGAGTCCCTGACAAGTTAAATCGTCTGGCATTAGACAGAGTAAAATAATAATGTAGGGCCATCTTTTTGCAGTGGCACTTAAAGGGTTAATGTAATGTTACTACACTACAGTTATGCTGACTGTCTAATGAGTTAAAGTTATTTAAGAGAAGACAGTCGATCAGTTGAGTATCATATTTTGTCCACAAGGTGACATAATCTACATGGCTAACTAATAATTATCAGCTCACACTGTTGTTCCCAAATGGCAAGTTAGACAGTAGTGCACAATGCAACTAAATGGTTAATTTGACACATGGGCAGATAGTCTGATTAACCCATTGAGCACAACTGCTCTCCCCTTGACAAGTAAAGTTATCTGGTGTTAGACAAAGTAAAATAATTTAAAGTATGATGCAACAAAATTTAGTGTCTGGTGAAACTAAGCTTGCTGATTAATAGTGATTATTGGTTATTACTTTTTAAAATAACATCGGTCCAAGGTCTTTGCCAGAAGAAATTGCGCCAGATGGTGGTTTGCCTAATACCAGATGGTAGCCGGATGGTGCCCAGATACCTGATGGCACCAGATAGCAGTCTACAGTTGTTTTTTTTGTCAGGATTTTCTCTTGGGTCCGTTTTTGCAGAGAAGATTGAGTTTATGTAGCTGAACAGCTGGGGTGGCTGCATCCGCCCCCCCCTACCGGGAAGCTGACACCTGTACTCAATAAATGTAGTTGAGATGGAATGTGTTAAAGCAGGGGCACTAAGGGACACTATAAACTGGTTAAAGATGGCGAACGCATAGTTTTTCTTTTGTTGCAAGATGAATTCCAGCCATTTTTTCTTAATTGTCGGGCTTCCAACTGAAAACTAATTTCCACACGTCACAAAATTTTATAACTCAAACAACTTCATTTTTACTGCACTGAAACTTTGGTGAGAAGATTGAGTTTCAAAACTCAATTCAAGATTGAGTATTTGGGACCGTTTAAATTAACAGCCCTAAAAAATTCCTGAAAAAACCCTGGTCTACTGGGTACAGGTCTGGAGAAAGCCTGTCTCTGGTTAACATATGTATATTTGTCGTACCCTGCATCACCTTGTACATACAAATATGAACTGGCTTTGTTATTGGTTAAATAAAGACTGTTTATTACATCCACAGTTTGTAGTCCCTTATACACTGTAGGTTAATGATAAGTCTCAAGGTCATTGTTCTGGCATATTTTGTATAAAGTGATGATTACATTTTCAATAAGTAAAATTTTCCTTTTACCGATTCTAAGAAGATGGATCTTTGATGGCAATTGCATGCTGTGTTTGGAACAGTATTAATTAAATGTACATGAAGAAATCAATGGACTTGGTGAATGAACAATGGTATAGATAATATTGATTGTCAAATGGACAAAATGTTAAACAAAATATGGCTTCAGGGTTTTTTTCAGGGATTTTTTAGGGCCGTTCAACGGCTCCAAAAACTCAATCTGCAATTGAGTTTTGAAATTCAATCTTCTCAGCAAAGTTTCAGTGCAATAAAAATGAAGTTGTTTGAGTTTTAAAATTTTGTGACGTGTGGAAATTAGTTTTCAGTTGGAAGCCCGACAAGCCATCTTTAACGAGTTTATAGTGTCCCTGTTTTAACACATTCCGTCTCAACTACATTTATCGAGTACATGTTGGGGGGGGGGGGGCGGTGCAGCCACCCCAACTGTTCAGCTAAACTCAATCTTCTCTACAAAAACGGACCCAAAAGAAAATCCTGAAAAAAACCTGGGAGAAACCCAATTCGCTACAACACATTGCTGTGCTATCAGAACTACTATTTCAGTAAATATATAAGTTATTTTCTTAGAATGAGAGTTTTTTTGTTAAACTGAGAATGTTAGGTGTAATTTTATCTTATTTTTTTTATCTAGTCAAAAGTATCTAGTTTTAAGAAAGTTAGTCTTAAAATAAGATATATTTTCTTAAAACAAGAAAATGATTCATCTAGAAATATTTTCTTAATTAGAACTTTTTTCTCGCTATTCTCCCTAGTAAAAATTTTCTTGTTTTAAGAAATATTTTCTTAAAACAAGTTTTATTTTCTTAATTTAAGATTTAATTTCTTATTATTAAAGAAAAGTTTTCTTAATTTAAGAAAAATTTTCTAGTTCTAATAAAATTTCTTATTTTAAGAAAAAGTGCACTAGAAAAATGTTTCATTATTTTCTTGAAATGAGATATATTTTTCTTAAAACAAGAAAATGTTTTTTCTTATTTTAAGAAATATTTTAAGAAATATTTTCTCAGAAAATATTTCTCGCTATTCTCCCTAGTAAAAAAATTCTTGTTTTAACAAAATAATTCTTGAAACAAGTTTTTTTTTCTTGAAATAAGAAAACGATTTTTTGCTGTAAGTAATACTTACTTACTTACTTACTTACTTACTTACTTACTTACTTACTTACTTACTTACTTACTTACTTACTTACTTACTTACTTACTTACTTACTTACTTACTTACTTACTTACTTACTTACTTACTTACTTACTTACTTACTTACTTAATTTAAAAAATTATTTAACCACGCTGGCCATACACAACATATTTGTAAAAATACAATGAGCTGATTTTCAGATGGGGCGTGTTATACTTACAAACTATCTTAACTCACATCTTAATCTCCGGTATAGTGGGCATACTGCATTTAAATTGGTAAAGCGAGGATACCTTTTACGCATCAGAAGGAAAACTATTCCACAGGATTGCACCACTATACTTAAAACTTCGTTTAAGATAGTTTGTTTTAGGTTTTGGAAGTGCTAGATCAGTATCATTACTTCGAAGATTATATTCTCTATTAAGATCTTTAATTTTTATAAATTTTTCTCTAAAACTTGGAGAGGACTGCTCATTAAGAATTTTGTACATCAAAACGCTCTTCAGCCTATGACGTCTTACATCGAGTGTGGACCATTGCAGATTCTCCAGTACATTTGCCGAGTTGACAACAAATCTTGCTCCTGTTATAACTCGCCTCGCTCTATTTTGGAGCACCTATAGTTTATCTTTATGAACCTTCCCGCATGTATCCCACAAAGGGGAGCAATAATCAAAATATGGCTGAATCAGTGCTTTGTATAACATCTTTAAGGAACGCAAAGAAACAAAGGGTTTAATTCTTCTTAAGGCACCAATTCCCGAACATATCTTTTCGCACAAATTCTCAATGTGAATGTCAAATATCAACCTATTGTCAAGGTCAACCCCTAGACACTTTTGAGAAAGAACCGATTCAATAATACTATTATTCATAATAATATTATTAGTTACTTAATTGCCTTTAGCACTCAAATTATGTGCGGATCCTATTAGCATGAACTTTGTTTTTTTCGCATGTGACTGGAGTTTATTTACGGTTAACCCGTCCATTACATTAACTAAGTCAGAATTTAATTTATCGTTAAGATCTTCAGTATCGTGAGAAGAGGTAAATATTTGTGTCTCGTCTGCGTATAAACATGGAACTGTGGAATCAAGACAATTTGGTAGATCATTGATATAAATTAAAAACAACAAGGGTTGTTAAACCTAGAATTGACCCTTGAGGTATTCCACATATTATTTCTTTTTTTGTTGAAAGAAAACCATTTACAAACGTTTATTGGTTTCGGGAAGTTAGATATGATTCGAACCAATCATGTTCCACCCAAGTAATTCGATAAAATTTCAGTTTCTCAAGAAGAATCTCATGATCAATAGAATCAAATGCTTTGCGAATATCTAAAAAGACAACACCAGTCAGTTTTCCGTTGTCCATATTTTCAAACCAATTATCACACATTTGGATTAGAGCTGATAACGTGGAATAACCTGGGCGAAAACCAGATTGAAATTTCGATAAAAGTAAATTTACATTAAAATATTGATAAATTTGTCGAAAAACTATAGAAATTGGTCTGTAATTTCCCATATTACGACGACTTCCCTCCTTATAAATTGGATTTACTCGTGCATTTTTCCAATCATCTATAAATGTCCCAGTGGAAAGTGATAGATTGAATATATATGTTAGAGAGGGAGCAATAATGTTTGCAGCAATTTTTAACATTTTGGCAGAAATATTGTCCAAACCTGTACATTTTGAAGTTTATAAATGTCTCAGAGTTAGCAGAACGTTATCAACTAAGACGTTCTCAAAACTGAAAAACGGGTAATTTGATTTATTAGTTTTAAGATACTTATGTACATTGTTACTCGAATTTGAGGTTGACTCAGCAGCCAATTTTGCCCAATATTTATAAAATAATCATTAGACGCTTCACTTATCTCACTGCCATCAACAGTATTTTTGCCCTCGAGTTCAATCTCGGTCACATGATTAAATTTGTGAGATTTACCAACGAGAGAATTTATCAATTTCCAGGTCGCTTTGGGATCAATCTTTTCACAATCCTTAATTTTTTGTTGAAAATAATTTGATTTACTTTTCCGCATTTCAATGGTAACTTTATTTTTGGCAGCTTGATAATGCTTCCAGTGATATTGTGACCTACGTTTAACAAATTGTTTTTTATGATAATCACGAGTGTACATTTGTCGTTTAATAGAAGAATTAAGCCATGGAAGTGAGGAAGATCTTACTCGCTTATGTATTAAAGGAGCATGGTGATTCAATACCTCATTGAAACTAGATTCCCATTTCTTCCAAGCAAGATTAGGGTCCTTAGTTGATTCTATTTCATGCCAAGGCATATTTTGTAGGTCACTAGTAAAATCTGCTTCTCTAAACTGTTTCAAATTTCGCACTTAATTTGTCTACGCGTAGGGATTGTGAACCTCCGCACAACATAGATTAAACTGTGATCAGACAAACCAATGAAGTATCTAAGAGGGCGGACAAATATAAATCCCTGGGATCTGGAAGGGTTCAAACGTTTCAGATGCATGAGTTTTTTCAGCGGCTATTTGTCTCTGCATGGTATTTATATTATCGTTATAGCGATACTTCGATATCATCGCGATTAATATTATATTTCGAATTATCGTTCTTTCGTTACGATGATATTATCACGATATTTTGAGTCAACATTATCGTGTCAAAGGTAGAAACATGACCAACGATATACCGTAATTATAGTTATGGTCAATGACTATCTTGATATTGTTTGGCAAGTGTACACAGCGTTATTAAAAACCGGAACATTCTTCTCATTTCTTTAATAAGTAATAGAATAAAAGAATAATTAAATAAATTTTCAGAGAGTCTTTGTTTTTCCTCTTTTTACATAGTAGGAACCTGATCGGAAAGTCGACGTCTCTTGATTTTGACTATGATTTCACCCTGAACCGTTCCTAGCAAGTGCGCTTATGAGAGGCATACACTCCCCGGAAAATATTCGAAACGGCGGACGTTCAGGCGTACGAATGTGTCTCACAACCGCACTGGTTAGGAACAATGGCGACAGAATTTTGATTACGAATCATTGCGAATCATGGCGCGACAGGGGTTGTGCGCTTTTGTGGATAAATCGACTTTCTGTTTGTCTCTAATGTGTACCACTGTCGCAGTGAACAGTTTTAATCAGGTTTATAAAATGATTCAATGAAGCACGATATTAACTTCTTTACGAGTAGACTATGTACTTTTGTTGTTCATGATCACATATAAAACATATCTTATTATTATATACACAAGGTCTGCATATGACAATGAAATTGTTCCAGAAAATGTAGTTGCAGATTCTTCTCACAGGCTTCATGGCCATCTGCCTCCCCGTTTAGAACATTTAAACATGAAACTGAGGACACAACATTTCTCTAATATTAAATTTAATATTTTAATTTAATATATTGAAGATGATAATTTAATCATTGAAGATATAACTTTAATACTAAATTTTTTTTCTTATTTTTAAATCTATCTATCTATCTATCTATCTATCTATCTATCTATCTATCTATCTATCTATCTATCTATCTATCTATCTATCTATCTATTATTATTATTATTATTATTCGCCTAGTTTACAATACAACATTACATCCAAATATGTCACAAATACAATATTTACATTGATTATCTGGTTTGGGTGTTTTTACTATTTGATTAGTTGGCAAGAGGGCCTCAAGAAACCATCAGGCTTTTTTTAAAGAGATCCCCTCATAAAATTACTATTAAATTATGGATTGATTTAGTACAAGATGTAGAGTTTTAGATATATAACGAATTCTGATTTACTCATAGAGTAGAAACCGTAAAAGTTTCTTTCTAAACGAGATTAGAGATACTGGGTTCACAACTGAAGATGGTAATGAATTCCAAATTTTTGGACCTAGATAAAGAATTGTAAATTTTTTGACGTTGGTACGACATGGGTGAGACCGGTAATCTGTTACATTTCTAGTATTATAATTGTGGACATGATAGCTTGTAAAAATAGATTAAGAAAAAACGGTGATAGCAAATTGTGGTGATACATAAACATAAATTTGACAATATGGAATGTATTTAGTTTATAGATGTCTAAAATTTTTAAATGGAGAAATAACGGTGTTGAGTGGGCTGGATAATCTGAATTCGTTATAGCTCTTACCGCTCGTTTCTGGAGAAGGAGGATTCTGTTTAAACTGGAGACATAAGTTGATGACCAAACTATATTACAGTATGTGAGATAAGGATAAATCAAAGTGTAATATAGACACAATTTTGCATTAGTAGATAATTCAAAGCGAGATCTATAAATTATGCCAATAGATTTCGATATTTTTTACACACATAGTTTATATGCGGTTTCCATGTGAGATTTTCATCTATGTAAATTCCCAAGAATTTAATAACTTGTTCTTGCTTCAGATGTTGATTGTCGAAAACAATAGCTGGTAAATTGACACTGATTTTCTTTTGCCATGATTTAAAAATAATATAACTTGTTTTCTTTATGTTAACCGAAAGTTTATTGGATTTCATCCAGTTATCAATTTCACTTAATTCCGTATTTAACACAGAAATTAAATGTTTTGGATCCGAGTGAGAATAAAAAATGCTAGTGTCATCTGCAAAAAGCAAAGTCTCTGCCATTCTCGCAGCGTTGGGTAAATCATTAATGTATAATAAAAATAATAATGGTCCTAATATTGAGCCCTGAGGTACACCACGACGTGTAGTCTGTTTAGAGGAACTGGTTTCATTAAATTGGACGAATTGTTTGCGATCAGAAAAATAACTCTTAATCCATTGCAGGGCTATGCCACGGATACCATAATGCACTAATTTTGTAAATAAAACTTCATGATTCATGGTGTCAAATGCTCTAGAAAGGTCAAGAAACACACCGGCTGTAATTTCTTTTCGGTCTATGGATGTAGAAATATTATTGATAAGATAGGTAAGTGATAAGACAGTAGAATGTTTTTTTCCGATATCCAAATTGTCGAGAGTATAAAATATCAAAAGATTCTATAAAATTGATGATGCGATTATGCATAACTTTTTCAAAGAATTTTTTAGAAATTTGGAAGTTGTGAAATAGGTCTATAATTGGTAAAAACTCTGGACTATCAGCTTTATATATAGGAATTACTTTAGCAATTTTTAATTTGTTTGGGAAGTATCCATTTAAAAGAGAAAGGTTAATAATTTGTACAAGGGGTTGAGATATAATTTCAAAAGTGTTCTTGATTACTTGCATAGAAATGTCATCGCATCCTGAAGCTTTCTCTGACTTACGTGATTGGCAAATTTCTGTCAATTCGGTTATATTGGTAGGTTTTAAAAAGATTGATTCCCTCACACGATCAGTTAAAAGGAATTATAGGTAAAATTCACTGTTGGTATTCTATTTACTAAATTAGGTCCGATATTTGTGAAGTAATTGCAAAATTCATTGGCTATGTCTGTTGGATCTATCTATCTATAACCCGAACCTCGTTAATATTGTTTGTGGTAATGTACCAGACATTTTTATGAAGTGTGTATCCAAGAAACTCCTGATAGTTATACCTGCCAATTTTGCTACAAAGACATCGTAGACATAAACAAACATTTAATTATGGAGTGTTGTGTACCACGAAACTAAATGTGGGACACGCTATATGATATATTACCACTGGAGAACGTTGCATTCATAAACGCGCTTTAGAATGATGAAGACCTTTATGAACACTTAATTGGTGCAAAAATCCCAAATGTACAGTACTTGCCTCTAGAGATGCAAGATAAATTCTGTCTAAATGTGGCAAACTCTATAATGAGACTCCTCTTCCACATTAGGGAGCATTTGTGAAAAGGAACAACGTGTCCTAAATAAATTTTAGATTTGCTTTTATAACTAACAATTAGATACTTTAGATAAATTATCTTTACAAACAATATAAATGAATTTTATCACAGATTATTAGCTTTAGTATATTTTTATCATAAACATGTACGATGCATGAATCTTCAGGGATTGGAGGAAATAAAGAACTACGATCTATCTATCTATCTATCTATCTATCTATCTATCTATCTATCTGTCTGTCTGTCTGTCTGTCTGTCTGTCTGTCTGTCTGTCTGTCTGTCTGTCTGTCTGTCTGTCTGTCTGTCTGTCTGTCTGTCTGTCTGTCCGTCCGTCCGTCCGTCCGTCCGTCCGTCCGTCCGTCCGTCCGTCCGTCCGTCCGTCCGTCCGTCCGTCCGTCCGTCCGTCCGTCCGTCCGTCCGTCGGTCCGTCCGTCCGTCCGTCCGTCCGTCCGTCCGTCCGTCCGTCCGTCCGTCCGTCCGTCCGTCCGTCCGTCCGTCCGTCCGTCCGTCCGTCCGTCCGTTCGTCCGTCTGTTCCTCCGTCCGTAATGATAAAACTCCCTCAAATTATTTACAGGTTAACAAATGAATTTTTAAAATTTAAAATGGTTAAAAATATATATTTTTGAAAAAATAATCGGCCGAAAGAGCGAAGATAAAAACATAAAATAGAAAAGTATTGAAAATATCCTAAAAGTAAATTCATACCTTGTGTATATAATAAAACAGTTATTCCACTCACTCTCGTCGAATAAATCGACTCGAGTTCTTAGAATAACTGTTAATTATCTTAGTGTTAGCGTAGCTTATTTTGGTATAACATGTTTTTAAATAACGTTATTTATATTTCAAACCGTGCTTATTGCATTTATCGGGATTTTATCGAACATCGTAATAATCTCTTGGACGATATAGCCAGGATGTGATTTTTTGAGTAACGCCAGTTCGTGACTTCGTGTTGTTTATGTCTGTTGAGTTCGTGGGGGAATCGCGCAGTTTAAACGCGTGTTTCGCGTGGTGAATAACTCATTTCATCTCCATGCACCGGATGTGACACACACTGAATGTTTTGACACTGATTGTTGATGGTGAACCTGGCGGTTTTAATAAACGGAAAGTTGCCTCGGCGCCACCATGGCGCATTAGAAAATATATTTGAGCCTCATGTTTGCTCAGGAAAGCAATATAAATGCCTTTAAGGACAAAAAAAAATTACTGATAAATGTAGGGAATATTTATATCAGCTATCGGTTTCAAAACGCAGGCAGTTAGATATTAACAATCAAAAGTTACCATCAACAAATAGTTGTCGGCAATTGTGAAATGATGGGAAGTACTCAATGACTTTTCTTAGGGACCGTTCATTATTTATACCCTAGGGTAGGGTGGGAGAAATTTATGTCATATACAAAAATCTCGTAGCCCTCTCCCCTTTGATGATCTCAATGTTGAACCCCCTTCTTATAAAATACTGGAAAGTTTATAACCACCATTATTTTCCTTTGTCTAACGCCACATTATTTACTCGTCAGGGGGAGAGTGCTGCCACTCATCGGGTTAATAGGGTGGCCCATAGGGGACATGCTATAAATATGAATATCAGCCTCTGGCTTTTTATTTAATGCCTCCAGAATTTTTTTTAAGGCCTTCAGCGTTTATTTAGGGCCTTCAGAATTATATTTGAGGCCTTCAGAATTTTATTTCAGCTTTCAGAATTTTACGTAAAGCCATCGGAATTTAATACAAGGGCCTTCAGAATTGTATGCAGGGGCCTTCAGAATTGTATGCAGGACTGAGTCCACAGGCCACAGAAAACCACTGCACAAAGAGAAGTACTTAAAAGAGTACTTACAAGTGGTTTACCACTTGTAATATTACAAAATATTTTTTGAAACCTTGATATACAAAAGAATGTTTTGTTGTTTATGTGGAACTGCTGTTTTACCCGACGCAAATTATTGTAACGAGTGTGGTTCAAGAATTATCAATCAAAGCGACAAGGAGCTTGAAAACAATCTCCCAAACATAATAGAAGGCTATTTATACTGCGCGGTGCTAATTTTCCCGCGCTCGGGCACGAAAACAATAGAAATAATAAAATATTTCATTATCATAATTTATGCATTTGGTACGGCAGTATAAATCTACATGTGGTTCAGCCGTGTAGCACGCCTGAACCAGGCAAACTTATTAATTTAGCCGTGCTTACTATTAAGTGCAGTGCTTAATTGATTTAGACGCCGTGCTTCTCATGTGCTTAATTCATTGTATGTATTCATTGTGCTTAATTCATGAAAAGTACGGCGTCTAAATCAAAATTAGAAGTTCGCCTATTTTATTACTTGAGTAAAATATGAATTAAGTTCGGCTCATGAAAAGCACGGCGTCTAAATAAAGCGGGCCAAACATTCCATTATCCATTAACAAACGACTAACCAAGATATCCTCTGATCAAGATTCATTCGCCGGAACAGGCCAGCTTCTCGTCATATCAGCAAGCCCTTGACAAAACTGGTTATAACCACAACTAAGCTACAGTTTAATTAAACAACCTCTAAACCTAACGACTAACAAGAATACCCGAAACCGTAAGAGAAAAATTATATGGTATAATTCTATGAAGGGTGATTACGGCCAAAATTAATTAGCGAGATTCGGAAGTGCCTGCATGATGCAGCTGCATGCCATTTGACACTAGTCACGCGACATTCGAATCGGCTTACATGCCATTCGCCAATGCTTACATGTCATTCGGAATGGCTTACATGCCATTCGCCAATGCTTACATGTCATTCGGATTGGCTTACATACCATTCGCAATGCTTACATGTCATTCGGGTTGGCTTACATGCCATTCGCCAATGCTTACATGTCATTCGGATTGGCTTACATGCCATTCGCCAATGCTTACATGTCATTCGGATTGGCTTACATGCCATTCGCCAATGCTTACATGTCATTCGGATTGGCTTACATGCCATTCGCCAATGCTTACTTGTCATTCGGAATGGCTTACATGCCATTCGCAATGCTTACATGTCATTCGGATTGGCTTACATGCCATTCGCCAATGCTTACATGTCATTCGGATTGGCTTACATGCCATTCGCCAATGCTTACATGTCATTCGGATTGGCTTACATGCCATTCGCCAATGCTTACATGTCATTCGGATTGGCTTACATGCCATTCGCCAATGCTTACTTGTCATTCGGAATGGCTTACATGCCATTCGCAATGCTTACATGTCATTCGGATTGGCTTACATGCCATTCGCCAATGCTTACATGCCATTCTCCACGCGAACACACAATCAATATGGACAGCGGATTATTTCAATAAGAGCCTTGCGAACACACACTACTTATGATCAGTGGGTATTCGCTGAATACTTAAAGTTTGTTGATTGTTAGTGGCTGAAATTTGTAGTGCGTTTACGTATAAATACACGACTGTTTTCTATAGATAAAACATGGGGATACAGGGACAAATAGTTTTGAGGTTTTTAACAGGAGGGCAGATAAATCCTGTTCTCACCTCGAATAAAACGTGTTGAACACTCCAGTAAGCTATGTTACGATAGTTGTTAATATTATCAACAGATTTAATATTTCGACGGAAGTCATCTTAGGGTGATTGACGTGTCATGTTGTTATTGTAAAAGCATGTGACATTGGATATGTATATATGCAGACATTCATCTAGACTGAAAATACATGGTTTAAAACTCATATTTTATCAAGTTTATGACTCTATGGTGGATTTAATTTAGAAACAAGCTATAGCCACTTACTATAAAGCAATATAACTATAATTACGTATTATGTTGTATTTCAAGTAAAGAATGTTCGAGAATTGTAAAATTTATAGGGTAATGCAGTATTTTCCTTTAGGCATGGTTGAAAATGACATTTCAGAGGGACTATATTTCTAAATGTTTACTCCCCCGAAAACGACACATATATCGTAACTGTTTAAACTTCAAAACTGTTCTTCCCTGTTATCCTCATGTTTTATCTACGTACCCTAATCACCTGATAGATTTTATATAAGACAACTTATTATCTGATCCCTTTTTCCACCCATAACCAAAATAAACTAATACAAAATTTCTCAAGCTTCGCTTACCGAAGAAAAGAAAACGATCATATATGAACTGAGAAAACAGTCTTATAAGACTAGATATTAAAAGAGAAAACACTCATGTGTTTATACGTAAACACACTACAAATTTCAGCAAATGTGATTGGCTGACACAGATTTTCTTTTAACAATGATATTTTCGGAAAATTTTCTGTCCATGGAAATTTTTCTTGAGTGGAAATGGACCTTAACAATCAACAAACTTTAAGTATTCAGCGAATACCCGCTCATCATAAGTAGTGTGTGTTCGCAAGGCTCATATTGAAATAATCCGCCGTCCATATTGATTGCGTGTTCGCGTGGCGAATGGCATGTAAGCATTGGCGAATGGCATGTAAGCCAATCCGAATAACATGTAAGCATTGGCGAATGGATGTAAACCGATCCGAATGTCGCGTGAGTAGTGTCAAATGGCATGCAGGCACTGCCGAATCTCGCGAACTAATTTTGGCGGTGATCACAGAATCCACCATATAGTAAAAATGTTGCGACTAATCTTGGACAGCCTTTCTTGAGAATAATTGAGGAGTTCCCCGCAGATCACTGACTACACCAACCTGAGTATCAGGGCTCTATTTTACAAATAACAGCCTGACACAAACCTTAATGCATCGCTTTCCATCCACAGCAAAGTTTATATCGCAGGAGATATTTAAATTTCACACAACGACAACAACAGTATAGTTATAGTTGTGATCACAATAAAATATATCAACAAATAGTATAATCTAATTAGCACCAATCAAATAACAGATTAAAAAATCTTTTGTCTCATAGACCATGCAGATTTAGAACCGATATACGGTACGTACGGCTTGGACTTTTGTTAAGGTTTGTATCAGGCCTATTTATTTATTTATAGGCCTGATCGCAGGTTACCACTACACAAGATATTCAACCGTAATACAAGATCAGCTACAGCTGTACGCCAAACATCAAGCAGACTATCGACGGACACAACAAATCAACGTTGTCTACAACTTCCAGCCCGAGTAGCCTTGACATGTGTAGCTGCCCTAAAAACAATAAAGAACTGTGCCCACTGATTAACAAATGTATCACAGAATCGGTTGTATATGAAGCCACAGTGACTATATATTAAGGACAAAACTACAAATAGACCTCCCCAACAAAACTACAAATAGACCTCCCCGACGACTTACAGAAAACTCGTTCAAATGAAGACTTGCAAACCATAAAGCATCATTCAACTCTTTCGACAAACGGAACGCTACTGAACTAAGTAAATACGTGTGGGAATTAAAACATCGAAAAATCGATTATATAATCAATTGGAAACTATTGAAACGAGCTAAGCCTTATAACTGTGCTTCAAATCGATGCAATTTGTGTTTATGCGAGAAATACTTTATTATTTGTATAAACCAAAAATGGCCACTATAAAAATCGCGTGCTTTGTAAATAGGATTAATTTTTTAAGTCTCATCCACTTGTATATATATATATTATAGTTTTTATTGAAGATTTTTAATAGATCAGTTACAAACTTTTACAAAAAAAAAATATCATGTTATCCACTGATCGCCCTAACAGTATATATATATATATATATATATATATATATATATATATATATATATATATATATATATATATATATATATATATATCTATGAGTGCTCAACAACACCGAAGTGAAGGAGAGTAATAGTACAATCTGCAGACATGCATGTTTCGGATATATATATATATATATATATATATATATATATATATATATATATATATATATATATTTAAATATGCTCTGGTTTCGTTGCCAAAAGTTTTTCAGTATAACCAACGAAACCAATTGAACCGCCATAGGACAAGATGAACTTTACATGACCCGCTCAATTTTTCCCACTCCACCCTAGGGTAATAAATAATTAACGGTCCCTTATCAATTATGCAGGAATGTCGTTATATGTGACGGTGGAACCAACAGAAGATATACTGCAAGACAACAAAAACCTGACAGGGTACTTAATAGATACGGCAGGAAATCGTTTGGAAAGTTTCGAATTGCAGCAAGGACGAGAGTTCTATAACAACTCGTATTATGGTTTGGTTCAAGTGAAATACGATGCATTTCAAATAATGTATGTCGGCTACAGTGGAGATGGACAGACAATTCAGCGTGTACAGCCTCGAGTGATTAGGCCACAACAATTTGAACTTGAAGCATCTGTACAGAACAACAGTTTGACTTTAATACCAAACGAGACAACGTCAATTATTGTAGTCTTGAAAAATTACGGTTCGGAGAATAACTCTTTCTCAATTATGGTGTCGGATGATAAATCATTTGTTGCTTCATATTCACCCAAGAATGTCTCTGTGGGAAACAATGATTCAGTCGAAATCGAAATTGATCTTCTTGCTCCATCAAATACAACAGATGGTACAACTACATCAGTATCAGTTTCGGCTTCACTCCAGTCCGCATCAGCACTTGACTTTGCAAATTTCCTCTCATTTGAAGTTTCAGTTTTCTCGAAGGTGATGTATGACCTTTGTCCTTGCAACAATTATTTGGTGTCTTTACATCTTACACTTATTTCATTTCGTTTCGTTTCGTTTCGTTTCGTTTCATTTCATTTCATTTCATTCCATTTCATTTCATTTCATTTCATTTTATTTCATTTCATTTCATTTCATTTCATTTCATTTCATTTCGTTTTATTTTATTTTATTTTATTTTATTTTATTTTATTTTATTTTATTTTATTTTATTTTATTTATTTTATTTTATTTTATTCTATTTTTTATTTTTTTATTTAAACATATTTTATTACAGACATTTTCTCCAAGAGCATAGCTCATCGAGGGAAATTATGTCGGATTATTTACAAACTTTAGGTTATTCACATCAAGACAAAGAGGATTACATAAAAAAAAGATTACATCAAAACAAATCGAATAATCATAGTGTGGAAGAACTTCTGGTATTCATTCTCAAGCTTTCCATGAAACATATTATTATAAGAAATTTATATGGAAGAATTTACCACACCAATGTTTTTACAGACCAATGTTTTACAAAACAAGTTTCAATAAAAAAAAAAGAAAAAAAGTTACTCGGCCTGAAACCGTTTTGTATTTAAAATAAATAATTGGACATTTTGCATTAATTTTACATTATCTTCATGTCCAAGATTTTCCGACCCATGCAAAAGTATTTCAATTTTCCGATTCTCTGATAAATTCATCCACATAGGATGGAGCAGCCGCGCAGGAAGTGAGAGCAATTGTTCACGTTGGGCAGCAAATCGAGAACAATATAAAAAGTAATGTTTGACAGTTTCCATTTCACCCCATCGACATACACAAAAGGGGGAATTTGCACAATTAATTCTATATAGGTGAAAATTAAGCGCACAGTGACCAAGCCTGAGCCTGGTATGGAGTATTGAGCTATATCTACTTAGTGATGCATTGTATTTTACGTTATATTTTTGTCCACAATATATATTACATAAGGTAACTTTAAAGGAAGATTTTATTTTATTTTATTTTATTTTATTTTATTTTATCTTGTCTTTGCTCCCTCTTGTTTTACGTCGTAAGACTCATAGACGCATTCATGTCTGTTTCATGCTTATCTATCATATTTTTTCTTTACAGGAGTTTCAATTTGTAAACGAATCTGAGGTCACATCAAGACTTAACATATCAAGCTTCCTTACACTTCCGGAGGATGAAACAGGTAAAAATGTGAAAACACCCTTAGAACAAAAATATTTGTTTGCGTATGGCAAATAAAAATATTTGTTTTAAATTTTTCAAAATATCGGATTTTTGCTGACCTACATCAATGCAGACCGATTGATAAAGAGTTCTAGGATGGCTTAATTAATATGTAAATTTCAACATGAGCTCCACCTTTGAATTTACTATATGAGTAAATTCTTAAACACGTCCGATTTTATCATTATGATAAATTCGCGGCACATTTTGAATTTATCAATATAGTTAATCATAAAACCACAAGCATTACACAAGATTTCTTGTTATAAATGTAATGGTACTAAAAGGGAGGCTGGTCGCGCAGGGGTGGAGTGTTCTTAAAAACTTTTAAAAGAGTTTTGAAAAGCAAGAAAAGTTTAAAAAGTTAGATTTTCAAAAATGTTAAAAAAATTTAAAAAGTTAAAAAAGTTAGGGTTAGGGGTTAGTGGTTAGGGGTTAGGGGTTAGGGGTTAGGGGTTGGGGTTGGGGTTAGGGTTAGTGTTAGGTGCTGCGAATTTATTATTATGATAAATTCAAAATTTGCCGCGAATTTATCATAATGATAAATTCGGACGTGTTTAAGAATTTACTCATCTGGTAAATTCAAAGGTGGAGCTCATGCTGGTAAATTTCTGTAATGATTGAATTTATTTTATATCCGTTCTTAGCATTATTTATTATTTTAATATCAGACGAATATGAAGTGGATGAAACTGTACTCATATATAGCCGTCATTAAATTTTTTGTGTCATTATTGATATTATTCATTGTGGTTGCATGTTTTACATTTTACGAAAGTGCAATGAGATCAGTCACCGTGACCGTGCACAAATTAGCATAAACTATCACAATGCTGCACAAAATAATTTCTGTTACATCCAAACAAGTAAATTTTGCGAAGATAAGTTCAGTACGGTTTTCTTAAATAATGTTTTAAATCCTTTTCAAGAGTTTCCCATGTCGTTGTTTGTAAGTGATAAAACACCTGAAAAAGTTTGATAAACCAGGTAAAAGCCACGATAAGCACTGTCGAATATACTCTTGTCCCACATATAGTAAAATGTCGGACAGGCACGTTACCCTATATATATATATATATATATATATATATATATATATATATATATATATATATATATATATATATATATATATGTATGTATATATATAACCATTAATTTAAAGATTAGTGATCGGTCAATTGCATGGGAGTGCAGTTGTGCATGATAAGAGCGAATATTCTGCTAATAAAGAACTAATCAGATTGTACCATAGCTCATAGCTGGTAATTGTCTATGTAATAATTAACAATTATTCACCGAAGTGGAAGTGAAAAGTGCAAGGACATTCACCGAAACGCGAAGCGATGCGGTAAATTAATATCTTTGCACTATTCGCCGACACAGAGGTGAATAGTTGTTTTAGCATATACCACAACAAAACAAAAATGTTAAGCGAAACTTTGTGACTTTCTTTGTCTCTGGAGAAACTGCAGCTTCGTTTAGCACAAAAGTTTGCTCGTCTAGACGTAACTGGAATGAAACACGAAGCCATTTTGTTTTTGTCCGGAAGTGAATAATGTAATAATATCCGGAGCTGAGCAACGTATCAACTAAATTGCTTGAAAAGCACTATCCATGCACGCACCTCCTGGGCATATTATAACAATAATTATTCAGGCCGATTTATTGTTGTCGGTTAATGCGGATAAAATTCACCGAGGTTTGAGTAGTTTATATAATATGTATAATACCGGTATATACCATGCTTAGTAACAAAACATTACATGCTCAGCAATTGCAATTATATAATCAGTGGACACATGCATGGTGCCAGTGTTGTAGTTAGTATATTAGATTAATTGATTGACCGATTAGAGTTGGAATAGATCAGACTAATCGACTGACTAAACTAAAAACTCAACGTAGTCCAAACGCCGGGTAACGAGGCTAATTTATTGGACTCCCATAGTTTGTGCTCGAATAACGTTTACAAAAATTGGGTAAACCAAATTAATTTTCTTCATAATTACGTGTGATAAGAGCGTTTCGCCAAACATAATTTTAAACATTGTTCAATTTCAACGTTGAGCCATTCTTAACTTGCAATCTTGTCAGCGGCGGTATATTTCCATTGAACTTTAAGATAAAACCCTTTGCCGCACAGATTTATTTTTGAACAAATAGTGGATTTTTTCCAGTGGAAAAAAATAAACTGCGAATCGGGAAGGGGAGAGGGAGGCAGATGTAAATGTTTGTAATAACTTCCTTATAACCACAAGCTTCCTAGCCCGCTCAGCAGGCCCCACCCGAAAATTTAAAGCGGAAAAGCAGGTTTTCCTTTGAATGAAATTTCGAGCTGCGAGTAGGCTACAAGCCTCCGAACAACTTTTGAAATGATAGTAACTACACAAAATACAACATAGCTACCACACTCCGAAAATTACTTTGTCATTACGATAACGCCGGTTTAAATGGGCTTTCTTCTGGTATATACTGTAACTCTATTTTTTAAGAAAGTTGTTTGATCGGAACTTTTGCCTGTTAACTACGCAGTAATTATGAGCCTAACAAGCATGCACAAAACAAATGACGAGGTTTTTTCAAACATGAACTGTACACATAACTTTTTAATCGCAGAAAACACTGACATAAATTACATTTATAACTGAAACGTGGCTGACAAAAAACATCTTGGGCAGTGAGATTGTACCGTCAAATGAGTTCAATATCTTTCGCAAAAACAGAGAAACATCTCGAGGTGGCGCAGTGCTCTTGCCAGAAGATCATCGTTGTCTTCCTCAATCCAACAGATCGATATTCCAACAGATTTAGAATTCGTGTGCTGCGAAGTAGCAACTAAAAACGACAAATTTCTATTGGCTTCTTGCTACAGACAACCAAACTCGAATATATCTTGGTGTAGAACATTTGGTGAAACATTATATACAATATCTACGCGATGTTTACGATCAGATTGTCATTGCTGGAGATTTTAATCTTCCTAGCATCGATTGGAACTGTTTAGAAAACACTATTAGATCTGATGAATTAGAATTTACGGAAATGCTGAATGAATATGTTTTAAAGCTACTGTCAGTTGAACCTACACGTTTGAATAACGTGCTTGATTTCATCACAGAGTAGATACATATATAGAACTGTAATTGGCCGTTGTAAATACTGCCGGAAACTCACATTTTCATGTACCTACTTTTTTCAGGCAGCCGGGCAAATAATGATCAACTACGCGTGCTAGGCAAGTTCCGCGAGCAGTTAAAGCAAGCCGCCATCCAATGTGATGCATGCATCTAGTAACATGCCGAAAAGTGGGTACACTAGTTTTAACTCTGTATATGTATCTTATCTGTGATCTCATCATCACAAGCTCGCCAGATCGCGCGTGGAAGTTCTTGATATCATTTCACCAAATGACGCACTAGGAATATTTACAGATCACGCCATTCTACAATTTGAAATTAAAATAAAAACTGAAAAAGCGAAAACATCACGCAGTTTCGTGTTCGCCTACCATCATCCTTGGCTCACTGGTGAAATCTTGCATCAGTTGCACGTAAAAAATACCGAAATAATCCGAAAAAACCCTCAAATGCAATCGAAGCGAACTATTATATTGCCTAAAAATTCAAACAACTGAGATCTCGTGTTAAGCGCATGATTGCACATGCAAGCAAGAATTATTTCGTTTCAGTAGCTGAGTAGCAACAGAACTTAATTCGAACCATAAGCTCTTTGAACTACCACTCATGGTCGTGAAAATGGAAGAATATTACAACATGAAGACTTGTATTGAAGATGTCCAGATCTGCGAAAGAATCCAAGACTTCGCGAAGAAAAGACAAGGAAACGAACTAGAACATATTATATCTATGTTTTTTTCACCTAAAGGAGGGAGATATGTTTTTTCACGGAAATAATATACTAGAATTATGCACGAGTGTTGCACGTGATGGTTACATGAGAACATACAATGAGCCATTGACGAACAATGCACAATAGCGTAATTTAATTACAATGAGACAATGTGTACAGTATGATACTGTCAGAAAACAGTGAGATGGTTGACTGTGGTTAGTCAGAGCGAATGCCTCTATCAATAGCTACGCATGAGGACGCACAATATTATAAAATATTTATGTGATAAAAGGAAACCTTGTTGTTGGTGTCAGCGTTATCGATCTTATTCTGTTGAGCTATTACCTCTACGCCCTACGGCCCCAGCAATGCTGCTGTATTGGTCCGAATATACCCAAGAAAAGGGGTCGTGTTATACAAGATGTTGAACTCACCGTAGATGACATTCTCTCTTTACTACATTCTTTAAATTGAACTTAAAATACTCATTAAAAATTCATAAACCTTGTAGAAAATCATGTCAGCCATAACATCTCACGTGGAATGACATTATATCTCATAAAAGTCATCTTCATTAGTATTCTTTATATAATTGTTCATCCTAATTAGTATGATTCTATAATTGTTCATCCTAATTAGTATTCTTTTGTAGTCGTATTTTAAGCTATTCAACACACTCGAACTCGTGTTTTATCAGATCTAAAACGCTCGGCTGCGCCTCGCGTTTTAAATATGATAAAACACTCTTTCTCGTGTTTTAAATACTACATAAAGCTACTGGGCCTGATGGTATTTCTAACAAGATATTGAAAGAAACTGCAGAACAAGTAGCCCCATCCCTATGCCTACTGTTCAATCTCTCTTTATGATCTGGTTCCCTTCGTGATAACCGTACAACGCAGTTAGTACAGGTCTTGGAGTACATTGGCCAACAATTCGACGACGGAAAACAGACATACATAATTTACTTCGACATGAGCAAAGCATTTGACAGAATTCGACATGATGTACTATTGGACAAACTACAAAATTTAATAGTTTTGTTTGTGGAAACACCACGTAAATTTATTACTGAATATTAATATTAGGGGACAAACTACAAAATATTAATATTAGGGGAAACCTCCTACTGTTCCTGGCGGTACTTCATCCCCCTTCGCAGTTACTTCAGGCGTACCTCAGTAACCTTAATGTTCTATTTTTGGACTTGTACTATTCCTTCTACGTTAATGATATCCATGATACTGTCACTACTTTTTCTGTTTCCTGCTTTGCTGATGATAATAAACTATTTAAAACGATTAAGTCCCAAACGGACGCCAATTTACTGCAAAATGATTTAAATAATCTTAGCACATGGTCATCGTTATCGTCATCAGGGTTAAACTTCAACGAACTTAAAACAAATTAATTGTCAGACAGTTACTTAGCCTGCGTAGCAGGCGTTTAGTGCGGGCGGGAGAAGAAAGGGCGTCGTTAAATAAACGCCTGCCCAAATGCCTATGATTAATTTGTTCTTCTCCGAAGAATCTTCGGAAAAGCTTCCCATTGGTTAATCTCGTTAACGGAAGTAATTAGATAGATAGATAGATAGAGACTTTATTTAAAGAGGGTGACACTTAATAGTACGAAGTACTAATGAACTTGTGGCTCTCATAAAATTTACAAAAAATTAAGGAGTATATCTATTGTCTATTTACAACTTATATATATATATATATATATATATATATATATATATATATATATATATATATATATATATATATATATATATATATATATATATATATTATAAATCAATATTCAGTTGACTTTCAAGTTTACTTAATTAAAAAGGTTATATTACATGAGGTATATATGACATTACATTTATATAAAAGAGAACATTAGCTATATTACAATTATATATTACTTAAATTTGAAATCAGGAAAAGAAGTAAATTGTTTAAATTCCATCTGGTGCGTACGGAAGCAATTATATAATAAGTATTTAAAACAGTTAATGGAGCTAGCGGAACGGAAACTTAAAGGTAATTTGTTCCAGAGGCCTATAGCGGTTATAGAAAAAGTTCTTCCTGCTTCAGTAGCTCTATTGTATTTCGGAGTTACTAAACTTAAATCAGCACTGCGAGTGTTCCGCGAATGTTGTTGGCTATTTAAATTTAATAGTCTGTTTAAGTACTCCGGAGTAGCATTAATAGTACGCTTGTAGATCATAATACATTTTCTGATATCCGACTCTACGTAAAAAGGTAACCAACCAAGATTATTAAATAGATTAATCGAGGAATGGCGAGGTTCAAATGTCAACAACAATTCTGCTCGCGTATCGAACAGCGATAGCCGTATATTTCGAATAAAAAATATGCCTATTAATGCTTTGGAGGAAACTCTTTCTTATATTTCAAGTATTTAGGCTTCGAAATTCAGTTGAAACCAGAACAAAGAAAGTCTATTATCAATTTGCTACGTGGTGAAGGCGCCGGTTATTGCGATTCTTCCTACGGGATACGGAGAAGTTTGAGTTTCAATTATACATTTATATCGGCAAATTATTTAAGCTTGCTACATGCTATTTTAATAGCTCTGATCATCTGATGCCAGCACGAGCAGAGATCGAATATTTCTTATAGTTGTCTTGATATTTGTTGAGGCTACATTACTTGGCCTTGCAGCTATGAAGTTGGACGATGATTTTATAAAGAATATTAACATTTCAAAACACGCTCAACTGTTAGTGGTTCAGAAGCCTTTTAAAGGATAAAAGCTCTTTGTTGTGACTGTTGTCTAAAATAGCTAAAAAAAGTCATTAGTAATTCATGAGGAAAACGCAAAGAAAAATCGTAAACGTGTCGTATCTCTATATGCGATAGAGATTTCCTTGGACATACACAACGAATTTGTTGAAAGATACTTCTCCAATGAACTTACTAGAATTAAGACATTCGCAGTGCGTGTTTTATCAGACCATCTTTATTTCGGATAAAACACTGCTGCTCATGTTTTAAATAGCACATAAAATCTCTGCAAGTCTCCCTAGTTGCCGAGCAAACGGATGCTAAATATAAATCTCGACTATGATTGGATAATAGGTGACGGCGCTAATTACAAAACGTCAATCATCCTTAATGGGCGAAAACTAATTTGTCATAGCCATTTGGGCAGGCGTTTCCTCAAACAACGCCCTTTAAAAAACGCGTGCTACGCAGGCTAACAGTTACTCGGAAAAGATCACCTTTAATCCATGCGTATGGTGTAAATGGTAAGCCCATTGGAAGACTCGACAAAGAACGTGACCTTGGAGTACGGGTAACCAGCACTTTCTCGTGGAAGTCCCAGGTAGTTGCACAAACCTCAGCAGTCAACAAATCTCTTGGCTGCATGTGTTCCCCGCCCTGTTAGTGACGTTAATGACGTTAAAGTTTGCCATACTCAATACCTTGCCATTGTTCGTTCACATCTCGGGTATGCCACTCAGGTTTGGTCCACACAATCAATTGACCTTATCAGACGTGTCGGAAGGGTCCAGCGTCGTGCTACTAAAGTCATCCTAAACCTACCTTTTAAAACTGTTATAACCTTTAAACAACCTTTTTTGAACTCACTCCATCTACTTCAAATCTGTTACTTGCATGAATTCCTTGATCTGATATTTTTCTTCAAAATTGTTCACAATATTACCACCATGAACTCTGAAGTCAAGCCAACTCAACGTATGGGACACCCGTAATACTTCCGACCCTATAGTCTACTCTACTTTCATCCTAAAAGATGTAAAACTATAACTTTTCAACGATCATTCTTCTCACGTATGTGCAGAGTTTGGATCAACCTACCTGACGAAATGCGCCGCATGGGTACATCTTTTATTGCGCTTTAGAAGCTTGCTAAAAGAACATTATCAGTTAACAGCTAAGTTGATTCGGATTACCCAAGGGCATGGAGATCTGTGTGTCTGAAATGCAATTCAGCACGCACGTTAATGCATGTATTCTCTAGTTATCGGGACAGCAGTAATTGCCTTTACAAGCTGTTGTGGACTCCGGACCACGAGGTATTCATTGATTTGTTTTCTGTCTTGTTTAGTTCTTAAGTGTATATACATCTATTGGGGGGAAATAAATAAATAAATAAATAAATAAATAACCACCTTTGGTGCACTAACCTGGGTTGAAAATCAACCCTGGCTCGTGTAAATGGGGCCTTTGGAACAGTTACTATATTTTTAGACTTTTATAAATAGGGTTATAATTAGGGTTTTGATTAGGAAAGGGTTAGGATAGTAAGGGTTAGGTTTAGGTTTAGGTTTAGGATTAGGGTTAAGTTTTTAAAATACAAAAGAATACCAAATTACAAAAGTCTAAAAATAGTAACTCTTCCTAAAACGTAACAGGTTATATCCTAATCTTGATTTAGATAACAATCGTAAGTTACGAATCGTAACTTCTCTGTATATAGCATTAGATAATGTTCTACCTGACCAGGCAGACCTGCCAAGGTTCCCGCATTTCGCGTGAAAGTAATACGCATTCTGCTTTTGTTCCCGCTGTCCCGCACGCATAACTAAAATGATCTTAAAGTTACGCATTTTTACTATTATATGACGCTATCCCACTTTTCGTACAGTAACTCATTGACAACGCTATGTGCAAACGTAGAATTAGAGTTAACAACGTTAGAATTAGCGTCAGACGCATCGTGGCCTGGGGGAACATGGCCAAATACGCTTTCTGACGATCTGGAGACTCCAAATTTCCAAATTTTCTCAATATTCCTAGTCACATTAAACTGTAAGTAACACTGTTATATTGATCAGTAGTTATTTTAGTTATCTTCATTGTTAGGCAGTAGTAAAAGATTGAAATCTTGGGTAGGAAAGACTCTAAAAATGCTATTTCCGACGGTCTAGATAATTCAAATTTTCAAAATTTTTTGCTCGGCGCCAACCATGATGGCGCCTCGTGGGCGACGCAAAATCAGGTGAATTGAAACAATTCAGGCGGTAAATCTAACCCCCCCCCCCCAAGCAAAGTCCTCGCAACGGCCCTGGTCACGGCGGTCACGCATTCTTATCTTTCGACGAACTTGGCAGGTCTGTGACCATGTAGCACGTAGCCTGTTTAAATGGCCCGGATATTCTATAATTGTACCTAAGGCTAAGCTTTGTTCTAATTATGTTCTAAGCTTGTTCGACGTATATAATTATGATAAGGTTTCTAAAGAACGAAGGTCAGGAATATGGTTGTATTTAATATCATTCATCTTCTATGGCTGTATTTAATATCATACGTGCTCTAATCTTGTTTGGCATATATTATCATGATAAGGTTTCTAAAGAACGAAGGAATATGGTTGTATTTATATCATTCGTGTTCTAAGCTTGATTGGCATGTATTATAATCCAGTTTCATGTTATAATTCATGTTGTGAGCTTGTTTGGCATGTATAATTATGATAAGGTTTCTAAAGAACGAAGAATAATATGGTTCAATGGTTGTATTTAACATCATTCATGTTCTAAGTTTGTTTGACGTATATAATTATGATAAAATTTCTAAAGAACGAAGGGATATGGTTGTATTTAATATCATTCATCTTCTAAGCTTGTTTGGCGTATATACATGTAATTGTCGAGGATGGCTAAATGGCGTGGGTGGGTGGGTCGTGGGTCGTGCGTCGTGGGTCGTGCGTCGTGGGTACGGTGTTGGGCGTCGTATAGACAATGAAAATATTTTTAAGACGGATAGACGGCAGACGGACGGATGGATGAGAGGGTAAAAAACGGACGGACAGGAGGGTAAAATGCGGACGGATGAGAGGGTAAAATGCGAACGGACGGTGAGAGGGTAAAATGCGGATATGAAGGCATATAGAGTGGTATTTGTATTTTTCATGCAGAATTAAAATCCCAACCTTTGCAACTTTCATGCTTATTCATTTCTTTGTTATCTGGGTATGTAGTAATTTAATTTTATGCCACTTTAATGTGCTGTTTTTCAAGGGCTTTTTAATGCAGTTATCGGTCCTAAAAGTAACATTCCCGTTGAGATATGACAATTTCAGTACGGCCTACTTTTACGCAAACGCGAATTACCGTGGCAACATTCATGCTTAATTTTCTCTGTTATGTGTGTAGTAATCCAATTTTATGCTACTATAATGTGCTGTTTTTCCAGGGCTTTTCAATGCAGTTATCGGTTTAAATATACCTAAAATTCCCGTTGAGATATGACAATTTCAGTACGGCCTACTTTTACGCAAACGCGAATTACAATGGCAACATTCATGCTTAATTTTCTCTGTTTTCTGTGCATGTAGTAATCCAATTTTATGCTATTATAATGTGCTGTTTTTCAAGCGCTTTTCAATGCAGTTATCGGCTTAAACTTACCTAAAATTCCCGTTGAGATATGCGACAATTTCCGTATATATACGGCCTACTTTTACGCAAACGCGACTGCAATTGCCACTTTCATGATTTCCTCTGTTAATACTGTTATCCAGTCATGTTGTAATCTAATTTTATGCCATGAGTGTAATTGATGATGATGCCATGAGTGTAATTGGTTTGCATGAGTGCTATTTTTGAAGCAAGGCATTTTTTAATACTGTGGACTGGTGGGGCATTTGCCCCACTGGGCGCCTTCCTCTGCCCCACAACTGAAAAAAATGGCCTATTGCCCCATAAAGCCAAGTCTCTAGGACTTGTATGAGTAAATGAGTTTAACATTGAAAAAAAGTTTAAAAAACTAAATTTGTTGGTGCAGCATACTAGTAACTGAACTTATGTTGTGTTTGAACTGAACTTATGTAAGTTGTGTTTGAATGTTTAGTTAGTTGATTAAAACTTTTTTAAAAAATGTGTCCTTTATATAGAATGCACGAAATGCTATTTCAGAGACCCAAATTTTGAAACCATCCCTAGCTAATTCGAGCCTACGGTACTCGGCTCACACCTTCGGCGATCGTATACTATCCTGCATGGGGGAGGACAAGGAGAGAATGGGCCCTTTAGCAATTTTGCCCCACCCTGACTGAAGAATCCTTAAAAAATGTACTGTTTTGAAGGACTTTTCAATGCAGTTATCCGTTTAAACACCTAAAGTTTTGACGAGTTAGTATACCGCCCAGATAACAGACAAAATTAAGCATGAAAGTTGCAATTGTAATTCACGTTTGCGTAAAAGTAGGCCGTACGGTTTTCAAAAAAATGGAGCGACACAGTTTTCAAAAAAATGGAAAATTCACCATTTAGATCGGTATTTTAATAAATTGTGAAAATAATTGAGTATACTCAATAAATTGTCAAAATAATTGAGTATATATAGTATAAAAGAAATCATTTTATGAAATAAAAATTGGGGGTAGGCTGTTGCGGTATTTGAAAAAAAAACGAAAACCGATACTGGAAAAAAAATACCGATAATACCGATATATCAATATTTTTTCGCGATTGTATTTTGCTTAATTTTATGCAAAATTTTCTGTTTTCAAATGCTGCCAAATAGCCACTATATAACAGCTTTGACTAATCGGGTGCGTGATATTTTCAATAAAGTGTGAGCCCAGTGATCAGTAGCCTGTGAAGTGTCCGCTTTACGAATTGAAAATGCATAATTATTACTCAATATTAGCATTGATTACCGCACCGAATGAAACATGTGTGATATTTTTGTCCGGCAAATTGTTTCAAAACATTTTATTCAACTGCGAGTTGAAACAAAGATCGTCCTATATCACCAGAAAAGTAACAATGTCCAATGAGGTTAGTTCTTGTTTTTCTAAAACATTTGTAATCCATCGTTGTTTACGTTCTAAAAGTTCACGAGCAAAATGACATATTACCTATAACTAAGCGAAATGACATATTACCGTACCTTGCAACGTACGCCAACGTAACGTATAAACAAACACGTTTTAGATCGCGCTCTAACTTTAATTGACGGATTTTCCGGCGGAGTTAGCACATTGATCGTCTTTGTCCTTCTGAAATAACTTCAATCAGCGCTTGAAAAAGCTTGATATGGCGTTTAACTATACAAACGTAAACGTGATATCGATAATACCGAAAATATCGATATTCCGATATATTGAAAATTCCAATATCGAGTAATCGGTATTTTGATAAAAAAAGATAATTATCGGTATATCAATATACCGCAACAGCCTAAATTTGGAGGTCACCGATGTCTTTTACAAGTTAAATTACTGTAATTAAATTCAACCACCCACAAGTTCAGCGAATCTACCAGCATTTTTGCCAATGTGGTCATAGTTAATAGAGATGTGGCATATAGCTAAAAATATTCGTGCAAAATTTTGGCAGTTCATGGTATAGTTCGGTTTTAAATTTTTTTTGCGATTTACTGACGCACGACCCACGACGCACGACCCACGACGCACGACTCACCCACCCACGCCAAATAGACAATCTCGTAATTGTCATACGATTTCTAGAGAAAGAAGCGATAATCCAACACGGTCGTATGTTCTAGAATTACATGATTTTAGAATTAAAGAACGAGAGAATATGGAACATATACTTGTTTGTTTGGCATTCCTTTTCGTCATCAGTAAAATAATTGTCGGGTCGTAAAAACGTTTGTCCGATGGGATTGGTTCCATCGATCAGACCGTCCATCAACCTCGTACCCAGGGCCTGCCCGCCCGATTTTCTAATATGGCCGCCAAAGCGAGCGAGGCCCTGGAGACTGCTCCATTTACTGTTCGGAGTATTCCGGATTTTGGGAACACTAATGGAATGGAACAGAACACGATCACATGACTGTTCGGAACTGTTCTGGCTGCCCCATAGATATAGGAGATCTAGATTGCTAACGCATACCTAGCGCAGGCGGGGCCTACATAATAAATCCAAGATGGCGGTACAACAGGGCAAAAAGATTATAGATTCTATTACAAAAATCAGGATTTTTGCATTTTTTGCCGTCGCATTGTTTTGAAACTCATTCGGTCAAATTTTATGGTAAAGAGAAACTTACCACGAAGATTTTGAGCATATATATGATTGAATTGGATGAATAATCGAAAAATTATCCAGCGATAAAAGTTCGTGTATATAGTACTGATATAGTACTATATATGTAACTTGTACAGTTTTGCTTTAATTTTTGCTCACTATTTGCATAAAAAGCAAATTATAACAGACCATAGATGATAGACCCTCATCAAGTGCTCTCATCAGTTTATTTCTCTAACAACCAAGGAGGGGGTGGGGTGGTACATAACAGTTCATTTTTCATAATTATTAGGACAGAGCAGATGATGATGAGAGATGCAAGTAGAAAACACCATTCACAATGCTAGATGTTAACATAGCACAGTATTTCTGGCAATAAAACGCTCCAACTGACCAACTGACCATTTCACACGAACTTTTATCGATGGATAATTTTGCGATTTTTCATCCAATTCAATTATATATATGCTCAAAATCTTCGCGGTCAGTTTCTCTTTACCATAAAATTTGACCGAATAAGTTTCGAAACAATGCGACGGCAAAAAATGCAAAAATCCTGATTTTCGTAATAGAATCTATAGTCTTTTTGCCCTGTGGTACCACCATCTTGGATTTATCATGTCGGCCCCGCCTGCACTAGGTATGCGTTAGCAATCTAGATCTCCTATATCTATGGGCTGCCCCAACTTCAAAGTAGGGGCAGCCAGAACAGAACACGTGACACTGCCCATTTTCACGTGATTGAAAATGGAGGCGACAGATTTGGTGTATCCAATGCACACTGCATTGAGAGTGTTATTTTGAAGGGTTAACCGCTATAATATATCGACATATATATTAACATACTTATTATATGCTATTTGAACGCAAGGATTGGGCAAAATCAACGAGTAAAAACGTTGCAAAAGCATATTTAGATGTACAAATAACAGCAAATCATTATACGATTTATTATGCGAATAACTAATTAATATAGTAATGCATTGTTGCACGCATATATAATAAACTAAACACTTGGTATGTTTGCATGGCGATAAAATATAATAGTTTTGTTTGTGGAAACACCACGTAAATTTATTACTGCAAAGCTTTCGATCCGTAAGCCGGATCTTCATCAGTGCTAATAACATTAATAATAATAATATTAATAATAATATATTATTAGCATTGATGAAGATCCGGGCTTACGGATCGAAAGCTTTGCAGTAATAAATTTACGTGGTGTTTCCACAAACAAAACTATTAAACTAAACACTGTTCTAGAACACCGTGTGCACTCCATTTCATATCGTTCCAGAACAGTGTTCCAAATGTTCTAGAACGGTAAATGGAGCAGCCTGCTTGTAAACGTTGGTCGTGTGACAAGAATTTTGGACATTACGTAATTGTTACTTTTCTAATCCGGGGTGTAAATTGTAAATGTGAAACGCGAAGACCAACAGTTTTTATCTCCGAAATTCTTCAATCTTCCCTGTGAAATTTTGCATTTCAAGCTTTTTTAAAAATACGGCGATCGAACAAACGGATCAATACTTTCTGTCGAAAAAACACAGTGAGATTTGTTCCAATTGTTCGTATGCCATGTTCAAAAGACTTGGATATATCGCTCGTTGTACTGTCACTTGTACAGCTTTTAATATGGTTTAGTACTTTATTGCGAAGTAAATGAACGGAATTAAATTCAACTCTTTTATAGTCTTGTTTAATGATTAAAAGTTGGTTTGTAGAAGAACAACTGATGCAAAAGATATGAATACTTCAGTTTCAAGTTAGGGACTAGTTCATGCACATTGCTAATACATGAACATGAATATGTCAACAATATGTAAATATGATATTTGTGAGTGTTACTCTGAGTGTGTATCCACATCGGGCGAGCTTGAAAAATATGCCCGGTCACGGTGGGATTCGAACCTACGACCTTTGGAATACCAGCCCAATGCTCTTCCAACTGAGCTACGCGGTCAGGACGGTTCGAGTAAGTGATATTTCGGAACAGAATCTAGTTCCTTCGATACCAATGTAATCTAGTAATATGATTTTTCTGTGTTGGTGTTGTGTACTCAGGCGAATATGATATTTGTGAATGTTACTCTGAGTGTATATCCACACCGGGCGAGCTTGAAAAATATGCCCGGCCACGGTGGGATTCGAACCTACAACCTTTGGAATACCAGCCCAATGCTCTTCCAACTGAGCTACGCGGTCAGGACGGTTCGAGTAAGTGATATTTCGGAACAGAATCTAGTTCCTTCGATACCAATGTAATCTGGTAATATGATTTTTCTGTGTTGGTGTTGTGTACTCAGGCGAATATGATATTTGTGAATGTTACTCTGAGTGTATATCCACACCGGGCGAGCTTGAAAAATATGCCCGGCCACGGTGGGATTCGAACCTACGACCTTTGGAATACTAGCCCAATGCTCTTCCAACTGAGCTACGCGGTCAGGAAGGTTCGAGTAAGTGATATTTCGGAACAGAATCTAGTTCCTTCGATACCAATGTATTCTAGTATATGAATTCATATTACTAGAATACATTGGTATCGAAGGAACTAGATTCTGTTCCGAAATATCACTTACTCGAACTGTCCTGACCGCGTAGCTCAGTTGGAAGAGCATTGGGCTAGTATTCCAAAGGTCGTAGGTTCAAATCCCACCGTGGCTGGGCATATTTTTCAAGCTCGCCCGGTGTGGATATACACTCAGAGTAACACCACAAATATCATATTCACCTGAGTACACTACACCAACACAGAAAAAATTAATGTGGTAGGAATTTCCGCAAGCAATACAAAAGTATACAAAATTTGCGAACTTTGCAAGGCTATATTTTCCTCATTTTACAACATTTTGCAACCAAACTTTGTAATTTTACTAATTTTTGTATGCTCTTTCTAGCTGTGGTGATTTATTTGAGTTTCCTTGCCTAATTTTAAAATTAGTCTATAATGGGAATTGTCTATTGCTAGATAGTATACTTCAAAATAAGATTTCCGTTTTTATTCTATTTTTAAAATAAGTTAGAGTTAGGTTAGGGTTTAGGTTAGGGTTAGGTTAAGGTTAGGGTGACTCAGAGGGATAGTATTAGGGTTAGGGTTTAGTTTTGCGTTAGGATAGTTTTTTCTACGTTATAAAAACGGAAACCTTATTTTGAAGTATACTATCTAGCAATCACCGAGTCCAGAGGCGACCAGAGGCCCGCCTCGGTATAAAGTATTTTTCATGATATTATTTAAAATTATTTATAAATGTTGATTGGTAAGAGAAATGATTAGCATAGCATTATGGCAATTGCTAGATAGTATACTTCAAAATAAGGTTTCCGTTTTTATATCAATTTTTAAAATAAGTTAGGGTTAGGTTAGGGTTTAGGTTAGGGTTAGGTTAAGGTTAAGGTTAGGGTGAGGGATAGTATTAGGGTTTAGTTTTGAGTTAGGATAGTTTTTTCTACGTTATAAAAACGGGAACCTTATTTTGAAGTATACTATCTAGCGATCACCATAGCATTATCAATGATTTTAATCGACGAGGCAAGCGAGTTCCGCGTCTCTTTTGACTATATTTGTCATTTATATAATTGTATAACTTTTCACTCTCCCTTCACTCGTCAATTTATATTATATTCAGTGTTGACTGTTGTATCGTATATATAGCAAACCATTAACCAATCTGAATTTTTCTCACATGTATATAATATATGGAAATTTGTTTTATTAAATGTAAGTTGCATGCAGTAGAGTGCAGGGCCACAATCCTGCAGGGCCACAATCCCACAATCCTCCCCATAAGCCATAGTAGTTTGCATCTTTCCAACTCACCATCTCTTATCTGGAATACGGAAGTGGGGAATGGGAATAGGCTGAACCCTCCCCTCCAAATAATTTTTTTGTGTGTCTATATTATAGACACACAATTCCCATTCCAAGCATACATTTTTGTGGTTTGCTTGGGAAGCTAAGTTGGTTCACTGAAGCAGTAAAGTGAATACTAAGGTTGCATTTTATATTAAAAATTATCATCAGGGGCGCAAATGAGGGGGGGGTGGGGGGTGTAACACCACCCCCCCCCCAATATTTAAACATTCGGTCCTGATCAACTCATGGTTATTATAAAGTCGGTCCCATGAAACCAAATCCAGAGCCCGTTTTATGCGCGGTCCAAAGGGCGCGATGGGACATGGGACATTTGTATGGAACATTACGGTAATTATAGTTCGACAAAACATCTCAAAATAACATTTACTATATTTTGAATGCGTACTATTTTGTCGGAACCAATTGCGAGCAGTTATAGTTGTGTTGTCGCTGATTGACTTGTTTCCGGCCAATGCCAAACCGGACGAAGCTTCACTTAATAATAGCTTTATTCATCCATCTTAAGATAAAAAAGTACAATGGACTTACAATTACTTGTTTAAGAAAGTATATATGCTGCGGATATGTCTTTATATTACAAATTGTTGTAAGATAATTTAGAAAACTAACTAAGAAGTTAAAACTAATAAATTATTTAATCTAATAAGTTCTTCTAATAAGTTAAAACTATTTATACATATTTACAAGCTCTACCTGAAAATGAATGTTTATGCCTTTCAGTTCCTGAGAAGAATGATATATTGCGATTCCGGTCAATGTTCCTTAAATTGTACTGATTGTTAATTAATTTTGGCAAAACACTGCGACAGGGATGGTGTGGATCGTTCATAAACCTATCAACTTCTCGACTAGTTGCCTCTTCCCTTCTTTCGTTCAACGGTGGTAGGTAATCTTTTTCCAGGCCAAGGATTCTTAAGCTCCTGGATTGAACCCGCTCTATTTCATCTCGCAGGTAATTAGGGAGTCCCGCCCAGACAGGTGATGCATACTCGAGAATTGGTCTTATTTTGGATTGATAGGTAATAATATCGACTTCAGCTGGTAACTGCGATTTCCTGCATTCTCTAAGATGGTAAAGGCGTTTATTTGCTTTACGTGTAATCTCTTCAACATGTGCGTTCCATTTTAGATTATTTTGGAACGACACGCCAAGTAATTTAAAAGCGTTGACCCTTTCTATTAACTTATTTCCAATACGAAGACGTGGTGGTTCAGGTATAGCGTCCGTGAACGAGATCCACATGTCCTTAGTTTTTTTAGCATTAATTGCCATTTTATTTAACACCGCCCAGTTATTTGCTTCATTGATAGATTGTTGTAAATTACTATTAGAATCTACGCTCACTATTTGGTGTTGTGTGCAGTCATCTGCATACTTATTCGTACTGACTTTTAGTTGTTCTGGTAAGGCGTCCTCCAAATCATCAATGTAGGTATTAAAAAGAATGGGAGATATTACAGAGCCTTGCGGGACTCCGGCCGGGCATGTTGCAATGGATGATAAGGTACCATTGAGATTTACTTGTTGAACTCTTCCGGAAAGGAAACTTTTAATCCATAACCAGAAGGGTTTATTTATGTTCATAGCTGCTAATTTGTTCAAAAGAATATTGTGATCCACAAGGTCGAAGGCCTTACGAAAGTCAATGAAGGCCGCATGAACCCCCATTTTGCCTGTTTTTGAACAATCAGTGGCATTAAACCAGGTTTGGGTAGTTGATATTAACGCAGAGACTGTGCTTCGATGTTGAGTAAACGCGTGCTGGTTATTCTTAATTTTCAGGTCTTCAATATTTAACTGGAGCTGGATCTTTTCCAGGATCTTGGCAAGATGGGGTAAGACTGATATCTGGCGGAAATCATTGTTAATGTCTCTCGGTGGTTGCACTTTAGGAACAGGGGAAATTAGGGCATGTTTGTAGAGTGATGGATAACAACATTGACTTATACTACAGCACACAATGTCATAAACCACAGGAGCTAGGTCTTCGTGGTATTGTTTGAGCATCCATGCAGGAACCTTATCGATGCCAGTTGCTTTTCTTGGATTAAGATGTTTTAAGACCGCTTTAACTTGGCCAATAGAAGGAAGGGGTGGTTTGTTATTCTTATGTGGGTGGTTCACTTCAGGTATTTCAAAGGCGACATTCGTGTAACGGTCCGACCATGGTTTAGTGAAGGCTTTCTGAAGTTTTTCAGCTAAGTCGGATAAGTCTAGGTTTTCGGGCCTGTGTGGAAATTGGGTGTGGGTTGTGTTTTCGGCATTTACTAAAGAGTAGATACAGTTATACCACTTCGATTGATTCGAGGTACGAAATTCTGAGGCCTTGGACCGATAGTAGGTGGCTTTAGCTTTAGCTATAAGATTTGCCACTTTCTCGCATAGTTGTTTGTATCTTGGCTGATCACCACGAGAAAAGGCCTTCTGACGAGCTTTGATTTGCATTTTAATATTACCAGTGATCCACGGTTTATCAGAGTGATGTATTCTGATGGTTTTTTCTGGTAAGAACTCGTCAAGCATCTTGATTATAATGGAGTTATAAGCTGATTTTTTTTCATCCACATCCAGTGCTGAATATACAGTAGTCCAATCTTCAGAAGCTATATTCAGGGAGAGGTCATTTAAATTTGCTCGTTTCATCAATCTAATTTTTTTTGACGTAACCGGAGTTTTCTGTCTTTTAATGGGCTTGATTAGAAGACATTGGTGGTCGGAGCGTCCGATTGGGGGGAGATGGCTAACAGTGTCAAAGAGAGGGAGCATATTTGTAAGGATTTGATCAAGAATGTTGTGTCCTCTAGTCGGTTTAGTTACAGATCTTTTTAAATTAAATCTGTTACATAGTTCTCTTAATTTTAGTTGATTGAAGTCCCCAGCTATAACAATTCCAGATGAAGGACGTTCGCGCAAGAGACTATCTATACAAGTAGTTAAGTATTCATTCATATCGATTGCTTGTTCGGCGGATTGACCAGGAGGGTAGTACACAACAGCGGCAACGATTGTACTGTAAGGTCTAGGGGTTCTGGGGGGTTTTAACAACAACCATATCACTTCTTTGTTTTCTTCTTCGAGGTGAGTCATACGCTCGGCTGGTAAACAATTATTCACGTAGGCGATCACTCCACCGCCAGGAGACTTTCTATCGCGACGAAATATGTTGTATTTATTACCGATCTTAACCGAGGAATCACCGATATCATCACTTAGCCAAGATTCAGTTATCATTACCACGGATGGGTCATAGATCGATACAACAGCAGCTAATTCGTCTACCTTATTTGTTATATGGCATACATTTGACAAGAGGAAGGACGGGACTGAGGACTTTCCAAGGGTGGGGTTTGTATTAGTCTTAATGTTAATTAAATTATTAAAATTTACACTTCTCTGAGATGTATAATTATCACTTGTCCGTTGGATTGCGCCTAAACGAGGGTTCCAAACTGGTCCAAGGTGCGATTGACCAGCTGTAGGTAAGCTTCCCAGCTTCCCTTACTTTCCACTAAAAACCATTCGCAGATACCTTATTAAATTATAATTTTCAAATTTTCAATTAGTTTTGCTGTTTTGTTTTAAAATGCATGCGCGCGTTTGTTTTTACGTAATAGACCACCGGCCATTACGGGAAAATAATGGACCGCTGAAAGTGCTTCTCATCCAATCACAGTACGCCATTTAACCGGAAGTGATGCATGCCATATAATAAATCGTTGTATTGCATACCGAAATAAACCGTATATAAAAAATTTATAAGTTGAAATATTGAGTATCATCTTTATAACAAAATTCTGTATTTTGGAATCTCATTTGCATGAGTTTCACGAAATCTGTATGTATAGGAACCATAGTGCTATATTCTATGCTGGATCCAAATTTATTGTAAGTGGGAGTCATTGATGTTTCCTGGAAACATCCATACCTCCTCCACTTTTGCACAACTGCCTATCTTCTAAGTGTCCGTGTCCATCGTTTAATCGTGTACGCATGTCCGCGGCCGCGTTTTCCAAAACACCCAGAATTTTTGATAGCTTGGACATCCAATTTCTGCATATTTTTGCATACTCAAGCTACTGTCTAACAGTACTGCTCAGAAATAACCTAACAGAAAACGCGTTCGGAACTTACTTATAATCATGTGCAATGACTAATAACTTAGTTATGCCCGTTAGCAGGAACATTCATGCGCAGTTTGAGCCGACTGAGTTTTAGTCAAAGCTATTTTCAGCCTAGCTGTGTTGTTGAACCGCCGGCTGAAATGTAGCCTGTGCACAGTACAGACCTTTGTAGCTCGGGTTGAAATGATGATACGATTTGAAGAATTTTCGGCTATTTGACATGTGTGAGATTGTGATTACATATACAGTTGAAACAGACACGCAAAACAAAGCCATTAAACTGACGATTTCTACAATTATTTGCGGTTACATGCTGCCCGGACTGTGTCGAGTTTCAGTTCTGAGACAAACCGGGCTGGAATTTCAGCTCGGGATGAAAGTTACTTAAAACAAGACGCCTGCTCAGGTGTTCACACTGACCTGAAAATGACGGCATACGTGCTATGGTGCACAATAGACAAGAATAAAAATCGTAAACCGCAAGCAAATTGTATGGATTTTTTAAAAAAATAAAAGACCTTTTCGGGAGACTATGGTGCAAATCTATAACTAGGAGTTACTATCGCCAGGAAAGTGCTGCCTTTTTGGCACATGAACTGGATGCAAACGTTTATACTTCTAGACAATTCTCTAAAGGGAAGTTTACTCTTGACCCAATTGCTTCATTTCCACGTTTCATCATTGGTAGCATGGCAGGCCTGCACATGAAGGTTATATTCCCTATGTTTCCTGCACAAACTTGTTTCTCGTTCATCATTTAAGCCCAATCACAAACTTATTCTTAAATTGTGTGCAAGAAATACGAGTAAATAGCCAACATGAAAATGAGGCCATTGGGTCAAAAATGGATATTAAAGTTTATTAACCAGTAGCTGGCAATGCAGACTACTTTAGTATTAACTCTGTCTAACGCCAGACAAATTTACACTGTAATTAACGCCAGACGATTTTACTTGTCAGTGTCAGCGGTAGAGTACTGTCAGTAAATGGATTAACAAACACATCTGCCAATGTCTCTTATTAACCCATTAGCTGGCAATGCACCCTACTTTAGTATTTACTGTCTATCAACGCCAGACAATTGTACTCGTCAGTGGGTAGAGTACTGTGCCAGTAAATGGGTTAATTTCTCGTCACGCTCCAATTCAAAATTTTACGATTTTTATTGTTTCTAATTGTAAATATCTCACCAAGTATTTACCCCCTTTAAAACGGAAAGCACCATTGTAATCCGGGGTGGGGGTCAAATGCCGTCAAAACATTATACAAACCAAAACAATGATATATTTACTCACCGCTTGGCCAAACATTCTGTATTTCAGTAACGAAAAAAACTTGAATATCTTCTAAACTCTTCAGAATTTGCTCAGAGTCAATGTGAGTAAAATATACTGGTTGTATTCAAGCACTTTCATCATGTACAAAGTTTCGTTGCACGCACGCGCCACGTGTATGCTTGGTCATACTTATAGCCCGATTGATTGCACGTGCAAACCATGCCACTGGGAGTACTTTGAACTACAGAATCGATTTCCGGTTTTTCCAGACCCTTCGATTTAAACAGCGCCTTGTTTTGATGTACGTTTCACGGGCCGCGAGTGGCCGCTCTAAAAATACAAATATTCTGTAAATACCGAAATAAAAGATGAAAATCTGAAGACGCAATCTTGAAAATAACACTCTAAACAGTGTTTTGCATTCTGGTTCAAATAATACTATTAAAGATACAGTATGTCCAATGGGGCCGAAGTTATGTCCAGCGAAATGTATGGCTAATTTACATTGTTCGTTAGATTGTTCGTTAGTTTACATTGTTCTGAAGAAAAAGCTTGAATTTTAGATTATGGTAATATTTAGTCGCTCTCATCTAAATAGTAGAGGATTGCATTTAAACCGAGAAGGTTGTAGTGCTTTGCTTCAAGCAAACATTTTACATTTTTTTAAGTTCAAACAATTGAAATGAGGTTGGGCCGAGGAGGAATGCTAATGATGCCTGTTTAAATATTCCTAAAACAAGAGGTTTTAAAATGGCAATGCTTAATGTACCTTTTAACTGACACCTTGATGAAATTCGATTATTACTTTTTGATAAAAAATTGGATGTTTTGGCAATCAATGAAACTCGTCTTGACCCCACTATTTCTGATGGGCTTGTTAGCATTGAAGGTTATGATATGCTACGTGCTGATCGAAATAGAAATGGAGGGGGTGTGCATATGCATGTATATATATATATTCTAAGATGCCATGTAAACTACGAAAATCGTCCTGATCTAGTTCCATCTGACCTTGAAGCTGTTTGTGTGGAAATTAAGCAGGCCAATAGTCAATCTTTTATAGTTTCAAGTATTTATAGACCACCATGTTCCCCTACTGAAGTGTTACAAAAATTGAGAGATTAATCAAATCAATTGATGATGATAATAAAGAACTTTACATTTTGGGAGATTTAAATTGTAATATGCTAGAACCATCATTTGTCCACTACTAAAAGGCTTCAAGAAATTTTAGAACTATATCAGCTTACACAATTAATTAGTAGCCCTACACGTATAACTCAATCTAGCCAAACTTTATTGGATGTAGCTATTGCATCTATGCCTGAAAAAGTTTTTTTCAGGCGTAGTTCATCTCGGAATTAGTGACTACAGCCTCATTTTTACTATTCGGAAAATTAGTACACGACCAAACACTAAATCACAAGGATTTGTTGAGTTTCGAAATTTCAAAAATTTCAATGATGCAGCATTTCTGGATGACTTGCATAGTATACCTTGGGAAGACATAAGATTTAAAAGAAATGTAGATGAAATGTGGCAGTTATGGAAAACATTTTTGTACAGGTGCTGGATAAACATGCCCCTATAAGGGTTTAACTATTTAACGGTTTAAGTATTATGGAATCTTGAATTCTGTTTTAAACCGACCGCAAATGCATTCATAATTTGTAAATATTATAATGTTCATTTCAAATTTGATTAAATTAAATTAAAATTAAAAAGATTAAGAAAAAGGGGCAATGTACGTTCCTTGGGTAAATAGTGAAAGGAAAAATTATTTAAAAGAGATACTCTTAAGCGTAAAATCATCAATTTGGCTTTAGACCTTATCATTCTACAACAACTACATTGTTGGATTGTACGAACGAATGGTATGCCAACATGGACCACGGGCTTTATAACTTAGTTGTCTTTCTCGACCTGAAAAAGGCATTTGATACAGTCAATCACAAAATACTATTAAGTACGTTTCAAATGTATGGATTTCAAATAAAAGCGTTAAATCTTTTGCGTTCTTGTCTGACGCACCGAACACATGCAAAGCTGGCAATTAACCAGTATGCTCTCAGAGGAGAGAGAAGTCATTTGTGGCATTCCTCAGGGAAGTATACTTGGCCCTCTTTTATTTATCATCTATATAAATGATTTGCCAAACTGCTTTGAACGCACAACTCCTAGGATAAACGCTGAGTTGAAACAATAGATGAGGTGGAGGAGAGGGCGAGTATAGACATGATGAATGTTCAGAAATGGCTATGTGCAAATAAACTCAGTTTAAATATAGCAAAAACGGAGTATGTCTTGATTGGATCACGTTACAAAACAAATAATGTAGATACCCAACAAGGAGTTAAAATTGATAACAAACTGATCAAAAAAGTAAATAACACCAAAGTGCTTGGAGTTCAACTAGACGAGAATTTGAGTTGGGAAAAACACATTAACCATATTAGCAGTAAAATTACATCTGGTATTGGGGCTATTAGAGGGCTAAGGGAATAGGTTGAACAAAGCACTTTGATTATGGCTTATAATGCCTTAGTCCAACCTTATTTCGATTATTGCTGTGAAGTATGGGATACACTTAATAAAAGTGTAAGTGAACGACTTCAGAAACTCCAAAATGGAGCGGCTAGGCTGATCATGAACTTAAAAAATTAGCATGGTCAGTCTGTCTTGGCTAGAAAGTCCCTAGGCTGGGAAACACTTGAAGAACGTAGGGCACAAATGAAAGCCGGGCTCATGTATAAGACAGTTAATGGTTTAGCTCCTCAAAGACAATGCGAAGCTTTCCAAGGTGTGAATACCATTCATGATTACAATTTGAGAGGCTCTTCGACAAAGCTTTATATTTCAAAACCTAAAACAGAACCTCTAAAAAAAAGTTTCGGATATAGTAGATCTAAAGTATGGAATCAGATACCAAAGGAAATACGAAATTCGGTATGGTATAAGTCGTTTTGTAGTAAGCTTTCCTCCTCGACCTTAATCTAATCTTATCTTAATATTATTTTGCGTGATAACTGTGATAATTATTTATTTATTTGTCTAATTATTTGTATGTACAGTATTATTAAAGTAGTTCTAAGTTGTAAATATTTACACATCCCTTTTGGAAATCAGAATTGGCTGAAAAGGCTAATGTATTTAAATAAAGTTGATCTTATCTTATGTTATATTATGAAATATGATGCCATACTTTACTTGTATTAAAATTCGCGTCGAACTAATGTTATTGCATTAGGCAAATGAGAAGTTTAGTTCTTGTTGGTATTTTGAACGCACGCTTTATCTTTACTATAGCTACACAAAGCTTTTCGTGCGGATTATATCTCTACAATTTGTGCACCTAGCGCTGCGCGAATTCTAGTACTGCGCAAATTTTAAATACATGTAAGGTATATTGTCGACATTTGACTAAAACTATCGTAAGGAATTAGGATATTTTGTTTAATTAAAACTACGTTGTGTCGTCAAACTGCCAAACCTTTAACTTGTCCTTGTTTATATTCCACTATATTGTACAAATTCGCTGGGTACAAATTTTGGGGTTTTCGAGAGTCGTTTAATACAAAAAGAAAAACATTAATTCAACACGCAAGAAAGTCCAGAGTGCGACACAAAAATGAACATAAGTACACAACGGATGTTTATATGAGTCTACAATGTATATTTATAGTTGTTTATTAAAAGGAAAAATTGTCAAACCTTTAACTTGTCCTTGTTTATATTCCACTATATTGTATAAATTCGCTGGGTCCAAATTTTGGGGTTTTCAAGTCGTTACGCGAAGAAAAACACATTAATTCAACACGCAAGAAAGTCCAGAGTGCGACACAATAGGAAACCGGCACAATCCATAGAAAACCGGCACAATTCTTTGAAAATTCAACGACTGACTGTGTGAAATATATATAGATCACTCAGTGAAAAGCCATCATTTTGAAACTGGACTGAATATGTCACAGGAGCACTCTACCCTTGGAGTTTGGAATTGTGCGCGTGCGTACAAGTGTATGGGCTAATAAACGAAAAATGTACGACAAGCATGGCGTGAGCCGGGTATTACGTACATAAATACGAGCTTGTTACAGTAATATTTAAATCGAGGAGTCGATGGCATTTTGGCTTAATCGTTGCACCCTGAGCCTGCGATGCGCTAACGCAAACTCGATTTCTCGACGACGAAAAAAACAGAAAATTAGGGATTGAGACACTTGACCTTTCAGGTCAGTGTAATAATTGTTCACAGTTGTCAACTTTCAAAACCCTACAGTAGCTCAAGTTTCATTCGGTGTCTGGATTTTCCGATGCGAAAACGCGGTTTTTAACCACAGTGGGGAACGCGTTTCCAAGTTTCCTCTGGAACGCGTTCCAACCGCGTTTCGATCGTGTTCCAACAGCGTTCCGACCGCGTTCGGACAGCGTTTGGAACGCAAACGCAGTGTTAGGTTATTTCTGAGCAGCACTTGGAAGGCTCCGGAAGTATCAGAATTTCTGATAGCTTGAACATCGAATCTATTCAATTTTTGGCATATTTAAGCTATAGAAAGCTCCAAAAGTATCAGAATTTCTGATACCTTAATTGAGCTTCCAAACTCTGCAATTTTGGCATTCTCAAGTTTATAAAAAGACAGGAAGTATCAGAATTTCTGATAGCTTGAACATCGAATCTATTCAATTTTTGGCATATTTAAGCTATAGAAAGCTCCAAAAGTATCAGAATTTCTGATACCTTAATTGAGCTTCCAAACTCTGCAATTTTGGCATTCTCAAGTTTATAAAAAGACAGGAAGTATCAGAATTTCTGATAGCTTGAACATCGAATCTATTCAATTTTTGGCATATTTAAGCTATAGAAAGCTCCAAAAGTATCAGAATTTCTGATACCTTAATTGAGCTTCCAAACTCTGCAATTTTGGCATTCTCAAGTTTATAAAAAGACAGGAAGTATCAGAATTTCTGATAGCTTGAACATCGAATCTATTCAATTTTTGGCATATTTAAGCTATAGAAAGCTCCAAAAGTATCAGAATTTCTGATACCTTAATTGAGCTTCCAAACTCTGCAATTTTGGCATTCTCAAGTTTATAAAAAGACAGGAAGTATCAGAATTTCTGATAGCTTGAACATCGAATCTATTCAATTTTTGGCATATTTAAGCTATAGAAAGCTCCAAAAGTATCAGAATTTCTGATACCTTAATTGAGCTTCCAAACTCTGCAATTTTGGCATTCTCAAGTTTATAAAAAGACAGGAAGTATCAGAATTTCTGATAGCTTGAACATCGAATCTATTCAATTTTTGGCATATTTAAGCTATAGAAAGCTCCAAAAGTATCAGAATTTCTGATACCTTAATTGAGCTTCCAAACTCTGCATTTTTGGCATTCTCAAGTTTATAAAAAGACAGGAAGTAACAGAATTTCTGATACCTTGGACATCGAATGTCTGCAATTTTTGGTTTAGTTAAGCTGTCGAAAACCCCCCATGCAAAGTATCAGAATTTCAGATACTTTGAACATCGATTCTCTGCAATTGTTGGCATATTTAAGCTATAGAAGGCTCCAAAAGTATCAGCATTTCTGATAAAAATTTCGCGGTGTATAAAAATCAATTGCATTAATTCTATATGAATGTTTCCAATTTGGAGTAAAACTTTTCTGGTGTCTTCAAAAAGAGGCCGTTTCTGTTGAAAAAGATTAGTTTGGAAAATGCAAAGATCATTTGGAACGTACCCGTTAAAAAGAATCGGTATATAAAAGCCGGCATATTTCAATGAACAGAAAGATGTACAGAACAGTCAAATGACTTACCTTCTTGCATTATAGGAATGACTGAAAGAAAATAAAAATATGGTAAATTTAATAGCAAATAAAGTTAAATTAACGTGATATTTTCAAGACAATGGTACAGCCGTACAGGACTGCGAACGATTTGCGAATAAATGTATGCAGAGATTGAGGCGACGAAATTGTAAAAAAACAATGAAAAGATTTGATCGTCTTACTGTCGTTCCAATTGAAGTGTTCTTCAAATATTGATTCAATACATTACCTCGGGCTGACCAATTCATACGAATTCAAATTTCCTTTTACTTCCTGTACGTTTCCTATTGGTCAATCGGTTCTGAAACGAAATCTAATTGGCTCATTTGAAAGTAACAGGAAGTTGATCAATTTTCAATCAAATGAATTGGTCAGCCCAAGGTAATGTATTGAATCAATATTTGAGGAACACTTCAATTGGAACGACAGTAAACATCATCATGCAGTTGACTGTTTAGAAAAGACAATTAAAATGGCTGAAATATATATTTTGGCTATAATATATTTTTTGTGATGCTTTACGGACACCAAATTACCGTCCTTGTGCACTTTTATTACTGCCAACATAATCGCCATAGAATATTAGATGAGAGATTATCCTTTGTGAGGAAATATGAAGAAGGCCCAGCCAGGTTGAGACATAATAAATTTGGCAGACGCGTTCTCTGACTGACTATTTATTAAACGAGGTTTGGACCAGATACAAATAGGCAAATGAAATAAGTGAAATATGATATTATGTATTGATGTTAAAACGTATGTTAACAGAGCTACGGGACTACGTAAATAGCAAGTAATTGGTGATTGCTGTGTTTGCTACAGCCCGCCGCACATTAGAGCTATCAGCTTAGCAAAATTTCACTCGTGACTGTTGGCGTAAAGTCCCCCAATGAGCGGTGGCGTTTTGAGCGCTATTGTTCACGTGTGCCATCGGCGCCGTATATTCAACATGTTGAATAATTTTGTGCACGAGTGAACAATTGATGATTCCCCTTATTACGTTTTCGTAGCGCTTTGCATTGTGGTTATAGTGGTATCCCTGATAAAGATAGCGGCCTCGAATGAAAAAAATATTGAATGTTTTCGCGAATATTTTGCTGTTGGCTATCGCGCACTTGACCCTAGCTATTAAAAGTTCTTGCACGGGTCAGGACAAAAAATAAGCCATCTTGAATATCAGTGATACCACTATAACCACAATGCAAAGCACTACGAAAACGTAATAAGGGGAATCTCGTATTCCTTCAAGTGTGCGCGCGTGCTAAGCTACCAGCTTACAATAGGAGACAAATACGCATGCGTGTTGACTCATATTTTCAAATTAAAATGGCGAGTAGTAGTGTTGTTGCTGATGCTATGTTGGAGGACAAAATCACTGATCTGTGGATTGAATATCCATGTCTTTATGGTCACCGTTTCGTCGATACTTTTCGGTGCGAAGCTCTTAAACGTCTTCGTCTGCGTCGCATTAAGAGAAGAAGAAGCAATATTTCTTCTTCGTCTAATGAGGATGAGTCAAACTCTTCTTCGCAAACATGAAAGGAAATGCAAAACGCGAAAGGACACTGGTAACAACTTTTACGTGAACTAGTTGACCAGAATTGAATACATAGTGTAATTCCATTCATAGTGTAATTTATTTTTCACACATAAACTTATCAAAATAAGGAGGCATAATGTAAACCTGTCCTGGATCTGAAAACTGAGTTGTCACCTTAATTACCAATTCTTATTGCGCGATGATGGGCTCTGGCGAAAGAGGTATTTTATTGGCTACACAGGTTGTTGTTCTATGTAATATAAGAGGATGGAGGATTTTGATCTGATGAGGTGACTTTACTTATGAGTGACTTTATTATGATAACGAATTTGCTTTCGAAGCATGACCATGTTCTCACCACATGAGGACGTCTTCAGGAGTGAAAAATGTTCTCACTTGATCTTACGATTTTCGAAGAATATCACATTTGGATGATTTTAGAATTCTATGAATTGGTAATAGGAACGTGTACATAAAATTTCTGTGGGATACAGAGGATGCTTGTACTCACTGTTACATCCGCTGCCATCGTCAATAAATCCATCATCACAGACACAATCATAACTTGTATTTGTGTTGACACATGTTGCATTGTTACCACAATCAGGTATGTGGACACTCTGTGCAGGGTTGCATTCGTCGTAATCTGAAAGTAAAATCCCAGTAAGACATTTCACTTACACCAATGTACGTTTTCAATAATGACTGTTTTCATTCGTGCAATAGTAAAACTATTTTCATTCGGTGAAAGATGGAATTTTGCATTCCACACGCCTGTCGCCTTCGTAGAATGGAAAGTTCCATCTTTCACCTCATGAAAATAATTTTATCATTGCTCTCACAAACATTCATTGCTGCCGAAGGCAGCGCACTATTCTTGACAATTTGTTTTTCTCGCACCAGTCCGTTTCCGGCCGAGTTATGTATAGCCGAACGACAACTCGATTTTGGAGGTGTACGTACGTACGGATTTTCAGATTTATGACGTATTTTGACGTCACAGAAATTTATATAGCATACTCCAGATCGCGATTTGACTTTCCGAATACCCTGGCTGAGACTCGCGAACACCACCATGGACAATGGACTACAGTATTACAATTTGTAAATAGTTGCCTCGTGCCTTTTGTAAATTTTAATTCCAGCTTGCTGCAAATTTTATGTCTGGCTATTTATCGAAAATGTTCTTCAAGGTAAGATGAAAGTTTGATCACAAATAACAATGTGTTTTGGTCGAATTATTTTACATATTGAAAGGAATGCAATTCACTATTGGAACACACAATGATACAATTGTATACGAAGGAAACATTATCTGACTTGTACAAAAATATTCCTATAGCTACCCAGTGTGGATTGTTGTCTGGACATAGTAACTTACCAGCAGTTACATGTATTAACATGTCAACCGACTTTTATAAAAGGTATGACTGTTTTGGTCGAATTATTTTACCCATTGAAACGAACGAATCCACTATTGGAACACACAATGACACAATTGTATACGAAGAAAAATTATCTGACTAGTACAAATATATTCCTATAGCAACCCAGTGTCAGTTACATCTATTAACATGTCAAACGAATTTTGTAAAAGGTATGACGGTCTGTAAAAATATATCTCTGAGATATGTCCATTGTTAATAGCATAATATGAAATAATCCTACCAGCCTACATTTATATATTCATCTTGCTGTGTCACTACTGACACTACAGTACTCAGGGTATACTAATCTATATTTTTATATTTTTTTATATAAATGCTCAAAATTTCTTGTAGTATATAGTTTTGCAGTTCTGACTGAGTACAATCTTAATCATTACAAGTGAATGGTGTCATCAGAAGTGGACATATCATATGAAACAAAAGTGTCAACAAATAGATTTTGTCTCTCCATCAGGCATCAGCAGATTTTTCAGTTGTTTTGCAATGGGGGAGTAGCCTTGAAGGTGCCATTATTGTATAAAAACAATACTTGGGACAAAAACTGACTTAATATATTTCAGGCCTTAAAATATCTTTTACAGGGCTGTCTGACAAAATGTCCGACGACGTTAAGTTTGGGTCGGACATATGTCCGATAACCTTCAGTTCAGTTTTGACTCGGAAATAAGTCTGAATGACACAAATGAATATCAGCACAATGTATTAATTCTAAACGGTAAATGTTGTGAAGATATTAAATAATTTGTGTCATTCATACTTATTTCCAAGCCAAAATTAACTTGCTTGCAAGAACAGCAGTAAGATTCCGACAACTTAAGCCCGTTTTCCTCTTCACAATTTCGCTAGCACGTTGCCGCCCCGCGCTCGATCAGCCTACGTTAAAACATTTCCATGCAGTTTACTTTTTATGCAATACTCAATTGTCCTCTGATTTTCCATTTACCATACGAGCCTTACTGCGGATTGATTTACGTTGGACAAAGCTACAGTTCGGTCGGACACCTATACACTCGGGTCGGACAAACAGTAAACCCCAGTATCACTTATGTTGACAGAATATCCGGTGGCTTCCTCACTCTACTGTACTTCGGACAATTTCATGAATGGGTCAGACAATGTCTGTGACCGACCGATATTTTAAGGCCTGATATTTCTATATGTGAAATTGTTATTAAATTCTACATGTCCAATGATTCATTCAAATATTACTATTGTTTATATATAATATGATTTTGTGCAGTATTCAGTGGCAAGCTAGCTACCATGGCAACTGGTCATGCCACGCCAACAAACCTGCATCTATTTGAATAATGCAAATCATTAAAAACTCGCATAGCATGACCTGTTTGCTGGCTAGCTTCACCACTGACAGTGTTATAATTATACATACAAAAGCAAGAAGTTATAAGTGTTGAAGGTATTCATATAAAACTGCCCATGCCAAGAAAGTAGAATTAGAATATTTAGCTGACCTTTGACCTTGTGCAAGGTGTTTGATATTCAGATTGCACTTTTCCTATCTCCTGATTTCTAAACAGGTGTCTTAGGGCTGTTTACATGGTGGGATAATTTTTGATGTATTTGAATAAGTCACTAGGCTAAACAAAAGTTTAAATGCTTGTTAACAGAACCCAAATATTGTAGAGAAGATCTTGTAGTTCAAGAAGATTATTATTGTTGCTTGAACAACATTTCGTTTACAGTTAACTATAATCTATCTCTAGGAAATTGTTTTTGCTGAATGGTGCACTGTGATTCATTTCAATGCATCGAAATCATCCCGCCTCATGTCTCGTCCTGGCAAAGCTGGATCTTAATATAAACAATCCCTTATTCAGCAAATTGCGCATGGTGGCATCCCTTGGGGGTGAGGCAGCAATTTCCTTGCGATAGTAACTTCTAGTTGTTTCTATAATATTCACAGAGACGTAGTCGAGGTAAATTTTCACCGATAATCACTGAGCTTGAGGCAAATAATTGTTTTAGTATATTTTTTTAACAAAATAAAACAACATGTCCAAATACCAGTTTAATTAAGAATTATTTTAGTATTGCAGTGTTTCTTGTACGCATGAGCAGGGCCTCCCAGAGAAATTCGGGGGTCCAGGGCATATATTTAATTCGGGGCCCCTAATTTTTCCAAAAAATGTTGGCGAGCAGGGGAGGGGGGGGGGGATAAAAAACATTTCCAGATATTTAAAAAAAGGCATGTTGTAAAACATGGACTGGTCCTTGGACTGGACTTGTAAACTATGAACTAGACGTGTAAAACATGGACTGGACTTGTAAAACATGGACTTGTAAAATATGGACTGGACTTGTAAAACATGGACTTGTAAAACATGGACTGGACTTGTAAAACATGGACTTGTAAAACATGGACTTGTAAAACATGGACTTGTAAAACATGGACTTGCAAAACATGACTTGTAACATGGACTTGTAAAACATGGACTTGCAAAACATGGCCTTGCAAAACATGGACTTGTAAAACATGGACTTGTAAAACATAGACTTGTAAAGCATGGACTTGGAAAGCATGGACTTGTAAAACATGGACTTGTAAAACATGGACTTGTAAAACATGGACTTGTAAACCATGGACTTGTAAAACATGGACTTGATCTTCGAGCGAATTTATTATCGTTGATATGTTTCTCTATATGTACACCTATATAGAGAAACGGGTAAAAATACGCGAATTATACTGCTATGCTCGCTTGCCCCTGCCCCACCTTATTTTGCCCCCGGAATTGGACAGACAATAACGAAATAGATTGGACCAAGTCAACATAATTTAACTTCGAAAATATTTAATCCTTTTTTGCATATCTATGGTTTTCATCGTGAAGTAACATTGGCAAGTCGTACCTTTCGGCCTTCAATGGCGCCGTTAAGCGTTTCCTTTTAACCTACAATGGTGTCACCGTCAAGTGTTTTCATTCAGCCTACAATGGCGTCATCGTGAAGTGTTCCAATTCAGCCTACAATGGCATCATCGTCAACTTATATCAAAGTCTACTGTAAGTTAGCCCTTTCTACATGCAATGGAGTTTATTTTAGTTCGACAGCTCTTATGTTGTACGTTATATGAAATCAAACAGGTAAAGTTTTTTGGGGACACCCGATACCATATAGATACATTTTTACGAAATAAGTAACTTGTTTTAGTAATAGGCATTATTAAATCTACCGTACTAGATATATAGTGTACATGCACGGAGGGATATTTATCGTAAGCCGTTAAAGAAAGGAGTGCAGTTCTACCAACTCCAAAATTAAAAAAAAAAACGTATAATGATCAAATTTTGAATAGTTACAATAATAGCTCAATCGCAAAAATTCTATCTCTTGGCCAATTGAGATTCATTGATTGATATTCATCATCATACCATGTTATCTTGATTGACTGTGTTGCCAATTTCCATTTGCGGACATTACTACAGCCAAGCTTTAATTCTTTTCACACGGATACGATTGAATATTTAATAATAGATACCAGTAATATTTGTTAGGCACTAAGGGCAATGAAATGTTTTGTTATGAGTTTCGTTTTGTTTAGTTAGTGAACTATGTCTATCGAAATTCATGTTTTGCAACTGAATTTAGCTTAAGAACAACATTCTACCCATGATAGAAAATGCATGCCAGCAAATAGTGAAGTTTTTTTGTCAAAATGTTAGTTAAAAACCTATTTAACATAGATATGCAAAAAAGGATTAAATATTTTCGAAGTTAAATTATGTTGACTCGGTCCAATCTATTTCGTTATTATCTGTCCAATTTCGGGGGCAAAATAAGGTGGGGGGCAGGCGCAAGCGAGCACAGCAGAATAATACGTGTATTTTTACCTGTTTCTCTATCGTGTACATATAGAGAAACACATCATTGATAATAAATTCGCTCGAAGATCAAGTCCATGTTTTACAAGTCCATGTTTTACAAGCCCATGTTTTACAAATCCATGTTTCACAAGTCCATGTTTTGCAAGTCCATATTTTACAAGTCCATGTTTTACAAGTCCATGTTTTACAAGTCCATGTTTTACAAGTCCATGTTTTACAAATCCATGTTTCACAAGTCCATGTTTCACAAGTCCATGTTTTACAAGTCCATGTTTTACAAGTCCATGTTTTACAAGTCCATGTTTTACAAGAATCCATATTTTACAAGAGTCCATGTTTTACGAGAGTCCATATTTCACAAGTCCATGTTTTACAAGTCTATGTTTTACAAATCCATGTTTTACAAGTCCATGTTTTACAAGTCCATGTTTTACAAGTCCATGTTTTACAAGTCCATGTTTTACAAGTCCAAGTTTAACAAGAGTCCATGCTTTACAAGAGTCCATGTTTTACAAGTTCAGTCCATGTTTTACAAGTCCAGTCCATAGTTTACAGGTCCAGTCCAGTCCAAGGTCCAGTCCATGTTTTACAACATGCCAAAAAAAAAAGGTTCAAGAAATGTTTCTGGAAAAATACCTGTACAATACCTGTAAAAACACGAGTAAAACACATTTTTCTGGACCAATACCAGTACAGGTCAAAAAATTTTTCTCCATACTATTATTATTTTTCTGATACCATTTTCAAAAGTTACACCTTTGTGCCCGCCTTTTACAAATCTTGGCTGCAATTTAACTTGGGGTCCGAGGCAAATTCACCCCTTTGTCCCCCCCCCCCTCTCTGGGAGGCCCTGCGCACAAGCTTTCAAAATGGCTTCACTGTAAATTTCAAGGATAAAGTTGAAACGACGTTTTTGGTGTTCCTGTGCGATTTTACTGCTTTATTACAAAGTTGTTTTTATCGACGAATCTCTGCTTAGCATACAAAACACAATGACAGAATTACTTTTCCACTAGACTTGGAATTAAAAAATAGTTTCTGGTCAGGTTTGTTAAGGAAAAGGCTGAAACATTTGGTAAAATGAAACTGTTGCTTGAAAAAAAATTCTGCATAGTAAACTTTTCACTTTGGAAGTTTCAAAAATACAATTTAGAGCGTCAGGATACAGTACAGCACAATAAAAACATGACATGTATATAGAATACAAAACAAATTGGTTTTAAAACAATATCACGGCAAGATTTTGCAAACAGTCGGGATTGTTTTCTGAGAACGAAATTTTCAATATTTTATCGATTTTGAAAGCAAGTTTGCCGAACCATTCTTTTGAAAAGAATTATTTACCAGTCTGCTAGTAAATATTGCGTCATATTCACTGGTCAACTAGCCAATTAAAACGCGCAGAAGCTCATTTGGTTTGAAAAATTTATACTAATAGGCTTTATATCAGATTGCATGCCACAGCTACCTTGAAATGTCAAAGCCTCCTCGGCCACTTTTATTGGATCAGTCTCCAGGCTCAGTTGAAGGTCGCTTCCACCAAGAAATGTGCCATTATTTGTATAGTTAAATGTATTGATCAATTCTTGCTGTAAATTTTGATTATTTACTCCATTTGTGTTGTTAAACGTTGCGACGTAGTCGACGCCCACGGACCCTGGACTGCAAGATAGAAATAGAAACGCGTTCAATTGAGCGTGTGTACGCATGCATGACACATTTTTGTTGCATGCCCATATATGGCATGCAACTATCATATAGCTTAAAATTCGTGTCCGTTGGTGGTGAAACTTGCGGCAGATCACGTGTGACGAGCATAATAACAATAAGCTAATTATAAATTTTGAATCGTGTGCACGTTTTCTTCCATGGTTTTCGTCGAGCAAATGCAAAGATTCCCAGAAAATTTAAATAATCGAGCGCCTTAGAAAAATACATCGAGGTAGGTAAAGCTTTGCTGTTTTAATATACTTTATATTCTGTTATTTTGTTGTGATTTTGGAGCCGCTGTGCTCGCAATGATTATTTATCAGGCGTAATATTATATAGCGTGAAAGGCCATGCACGCTATCAAAATACTAAATTTAAATATAATACTCAAACTGAAGTGGAGTTATTGTGCTCGCATTGATTATATTGTGTGCAAAACTTCAAAACTACAGTAAATTTTGTAAATAATTAACATGAAATATATTAAAAATAACAAACAAAATTCTCATTAATACTATTGAAATTACAACGAAATAGCATTCTACGTCGATAATTTCAATCGTAGTTTAACAATTATTTTCAATCTGTAGTAATTCACCGTTCCCATGTTTTTTTATACTTTCAATAAGGCTACAATAAAGCTAAATTTGTAGGAAATAACATTATTTAGTTATAAAATAGTAAAGGAAATCCAACCTCGTTCCCAGGGTATTTGTTCTTGGGAAGCAAAGACCCTGGTGGACGCTGGTCACGTGACCCATAGAAAATGATAGCCTCAGAGGGGGATGGAAAGGTCTCATATTACATGTTTCCACTTCCGCACTTCACACTTCGATTGCAAGGAGTGGCCGTGCTGTACAATAATCTTTGAGAATCATATATTCTTCAAAATTCTTGCTAAATTGGTTTCTGTTGCCGTTTTAAATTATACAAACATGGTAAAATGCAGATTCTTGTACTAACAGACAAGTCAGCAAATCAAGCAACGAAAACGTATGACCGTATGGTTTGAAATATTTGCGTTTTTAATATTCTCTCGGGGTTCGGGCGCAATATTTTCATTTCATACGTACGTTTCTGTCCTGGCTCTGCCTCTGGTTCAGATATTTACAATATTCTTATAATATGCCATTGAATTGTTGTAATATAGAAAGGAAACGGTATACTGTTTTGTATAATAGAGGTACCAAAAGCGACTGACAAAATTGTTTGGAATCGACACTCGACAGCGCACTTTTTTGTCTTCACGACTACCTGTTTGTTGAGCCAAAATATTGCACAGAATCTCCTATAATAAATTATAGCTATCGCCATTCACCCTCCCACCCTGAATGCAAAGGAATGATATCCGAAAAGATTTAGCAAAGTATTTGTTATTATATCTGGTACGAAGTGTCCCTATACGTTTTATCAGGGATATAGTATTTATATATACACAATTCATAAACTGTATATGCGCACCAAGTCTCGCTCATAGAATTACTTAATGAGTTTGATTAAGCCTTTTAAAGTTTCTATTGATACTGATAGATAGGTTGTTTGCTTACAGTTAATACGAAGTCTCGTTTGGTGAAACTTCTAAAATTTCAATTACAGTTACGACACAGTATAGGGGTATATACGATAAAGATTAAAGACTTAAAGTTGATTTAAATATTGATGACTCACAGCGGCATTATACAAGTCGAAAGAAGCTGGATTTTAAGTTGGATTATTCTTCAAATAATGCCTGGGCATTAATACCAATGCCAATGAAAGGTCTTTATAAGATTTATAATGTTTACTACAATATATGATATAATTTAGTCTAGTGCATATTATCGTCCTAGATATTCAAGTTGTACCGCACGCACCGAGGAGTCTTGGCGTGTGATAACAGTATACTGTAGCTGTACTTCGACATATATCATTCTTGATCGTTGAGCTGTTTCAGCAATGTAAATAAAAGGAATAACGGGTTTTAATCCTGTGCTTACTGTAATTCACAGTCAAAACAGCACTATTGTTTTTATATACACATGCAGTTGGCGATGTTCAGTACTTCAGTTGGGAAATCAAAGGATCCCGTTATAAAATAAATCCTTTGTTTTGAATATCGGACAGGATACATTTCAACTATAAACAACCATATCATATCGTTCGTTTTATATAAATACCGTTTGATCAATCAGTCGGTGTAGAAGATATCAGATATGTACGGTGGCCGATAAGGGCCACCTCTGCTGCATGGAAATGCGACTGTGCTGCATGAAAACACGATTGTGCTGCAAGGAAACGCGACTGTGCTGCAAGGAAATGCGACTGTGCTGCATGGAAACACGACTGTGCTGCATGAAAACCATTAATGATGAAAACACGATTGTGCTGCATGGAAACACGACTGTGCTGCAAGGAAATGCGATTGTGCTGCATGGAAACACGACTGTGCTGCATGGAAACACGACTGTGCTGCAAGGAAATGCGATTGTGCTGCACAGAAATGCACCTGTGCTGCATGGAAATTGACGATCAACCTCGTACCAAGGGTCCCCGTGTTTAAAGGTTCTGGTGCACGAGTTGGGACCTTTAAACATGGGGACCCCTGGGTACGAAGTTGATTGACGATGTCAGTACAACCACAGGTGGCCCAATCTCGCAAGCGTCAGTATAGTAATGTGTATTATAGTAAAATTATGTCATAAAATATAAATTTTAAAATGAAATTGACTTGCCTATTTGATAGTGTGTGTTCTCCTTTTATTTCTCTTTTGTTAGACTAATATTTTTCGAGACTTTACACTCGATGGACGATGATACTAATATACATACTATATGATAAAGGCAAACTACTTACAATCGTCGATCCATCTGCACGGCACTTCGAATCTAAAATTCTCCCACTCAAATCGCTTTATTCTCCAAAAAAATTCGCCAGCATGTAGAACAGATGCCGTTCTTCGAAAATACGCGAGATGTACAAGGCTTGGACCATATTTTAACAATGTAAATCAAAACCCATTTTATATTGAACTTACAAAGACCGACGATTACTACCGCGCATGCTTGGGTAACCAGGCCTCCTTTACCGCTGATCATTACAGGGGGGGGGGAGGAGGACACCGTCTGCCCGCAGCATGCAAATACCAAAAAGTAGGAAGTTCAATGGGAAACAACATATTGTCGGACTGTATATAGCATGTATGTTATAATACGAAATGTATTTAAATGTATATCAATATTATGATGTCTATATGATATCATATTTTAATTATATTATCCTTTTATATAACGATCATATTTCGAATTAATGTAACCCCTCCTGTAAATACCAATGGTGAAGGAGGCCTGGTTGCCAAGGCATGCGCGGTAGTAATCATTGGTCTTTGTAAGTTCAATATAAAATGGGTTTTGATTTCCATTGTAAAAAATATGGTCCAAAAATTGTACATCTCGCCGAAGTATCTCCGTATTTTCAAAGAACAGCATATGTTCTATATGCTGGCTTTTTTTAGAGAACAAAACGATTTGAATAGGAGAATTTTAGATTCGAAGTGCCGTGCAGACGGATCGACGATTGTAAGTAGTTTGCCTTTATCATATAGTATGTATATTAGTATCATCGTCCATCGAGTGCAAAGTCTCGAAAAATACTAACAAAAGAGAAATAAAAGGAGAACACACACTATCAAATAGGCAAGTCCATTTCATTCTAAAATTTATATTTTATGACATATTTTACTATAATACACATTACTATATTGACGCTTGCGAGATTGGGCCACCTGTGGTTGTACTGACATCGTTTAAAGGTCCCAACTCGTGCACCAGAACCTTTAAACACGGGGACCCTTGGTACGAGGTTGATCGTCAATTTCCATGCAGCACAGGTGCATCTCTGTGCAGCACAATCGCATTTCCTCGCAGCACAGTCGTGTTTCCATGCAGCACAGACGTGTTTCCATGCAGCACAATCGCATTTCTTTGCAGCACAGTCGTGTTTCCATGCAGCACAATCGTGTTTTCATTCAGCACAGTCGTGTTTCCATGCAGCACAATCGTGTTTCCATGCAGCACAGTCGCATTTCCTTGCAGCACAGTCGTGTTTCCATGCAGCACAATCGTGTTTCCATGCAGCACAATCGCATTTCTTTGCAGCACAGTCGTGTTTCCATGCAGCACAATCGTGTTTTCATTCAGCACAGTCGTGTTTCCATGCAGCACAATCGTGTTTCCATGCAGCACAGTCGCATTTCCTTGCAGCACAGTCGCGTTTCCATGCAGCAGAGGTGGCCCTTATCGGCCACCGTAGTTATCCATATCTGGTCTGACTTGACGTGAACTAATTTCAAAACGCAGAGTTTCAAAACGTCAAAACATTTGGTTAATGATTAACATTTAACCGAATTTAGCCGTTGATTGACAACTACATAAAAATACTAACCAATCCGTTTTTCCCGTTCACCAGCGGACGGGTAATTCAAAAACCCCTAGTTTTGCGGCAGACGGTATTTCCTTTGCTTCCCTAATTTTCGCTGCCCGTAGAAATACCGCCTGCCATGCAGGCTATTTGCTGGATGGAAAATAGTACTAACCTTATCATCATCAATCTCGTTCCCAGAGTATGCCTGTTCGCGGGTTAGGTTGTGGCATGACTCTGGGGAAATCGAATCTAAATCGTTATTTGATTGGCTGCCGTGATCATCAATGCTGCCGACACAATTAATGCGTGTTTTTTGCGAGAATTACGCGTGGACATACGCGAAGAGAGAATTATCAATGTTTATCAGATTTGGAATGCGAAATCAAACGATATAAATCGAAGGATATGATATTAATCGTATGAAAAAGTATTGGGACGTTGGGTATATACTTACAATATGGTATGGTATTTATGAATGACTTTTTATCGATCTACAGTACGAGTATATTCATTATAACCATGAAAGAATTGGCTAAATGAAATCATCGCACAC